AAAACTGGTTTCTCAAGAATAAATCTTGCCAGATTAATTTCACTTTTTGACTGTGGAACTTCCCTAATGAACTCTGGGACTGCTGTGGCCATAATCTATTTTGACTTTAGCAAAGCTGTTGACAAAATGCCCCATGGCATCCTGATTAGCAAGCCAGCAAAGAGGGGGCTCAATGGAACCACTAATAGGTGGAACCACAGTTGGCTACAAAATCAGACTCATTGAGTGCTCAGCAGTAGCACCTTCTCAGTCTGGGGAAAGGTAGCAAGAGGGGTGCTGCAGAGTTCTGTCTTGGTCCAGTGCTCTTCAACATTATTAATTATTTGGAGTGCAGATAATGAAGTGCAGATAATGATTATCAGATCTGCAGATGACACAAAACTGGGTGGGATAGCTAATACACTGGAAGACAAAAAGAAGATCCCAGGTAATCTTGATAGGTTAGAATGCTGGGATGAAAACAACAGAATGAAATTCAGGAGGGACTAATGCCAAGTCCTGCACCTAGGAAAAAAATCAAATGCATCATTACAAGGTGGAGAATACTTGGCTCAACAATACTGCAAACCAGAAGGATCTTGGAATTGTTGTAGATCACAAGCTACATATGAGGCAATAATGAGAAGGATACAGTTTAAGAAGGATACAGACAAGGTAGAAAGGGTTTAGAGGAGGGCAATAAGGATGATCCAGAGTCTGGAAACAAAGCCATATGAGAGAACTGGGCATGTTCAACTTCGAGGAAAGTGAGGAGTGATATGAAAGTACTCTGCAAGTACTTGAAAGGCTGTCACAAAGAGGAAGGATAGGATCTATTCTTGATCATCCCAAAGTGCAGGACATGGAAATAACAGGGTCAAGTTACAGGAAGCCAAGTTCCAGCTAGGTATCAGGAAAATTTCCCTGACCATTAGAGCAGTACAACAATGAAACCAATTACCGAGTGAGCTTATGGCATCTTCCATGCTAGAGGCATTCAATACAACTGGACAGTCATCCGAGAAAGATGGTGTAACTTGGTGTCATGCACTAGTGGGGGGTTGGACATGATGGCCTTTCTTGGCTGTTTCCAACTCTATTCTATGATTCTATGAACTTAGTTAAAAACATTAAAAAATATTTAAAAAGCTTAGCATTGCCAAAACAACAATCCAGGGAACAGTTAAAGCAAGAAAAAAGATAGCAAACACAATGCTGCCACAGAAACCAAGATTTTAAAGGTCAAAAGGTAATACAAACATTTCATGTTCAAGCATGATTATAAATATTGTATGTTAAGTAGAAGCACAAACAAGGATAGATTAGCTCTATCTCTTCGTTTATTTCTCACATTGAAACCCAGGAATGTATTCATTTTGATTCTTGTATTACAGAAATATAGAAACATACGCTTCTACATTCTACTTTAAATTCCTGATTGTAAATATTTCCTTGAAGTGGCAGTAATATGCATACTCACCTAGCTGAAAGTGGGGCTTACTTCTGAATAAGTGTGGATAGAATTCCACCATCAGTTCCTGAGGCACAGGAAAAGGCACATGTTGTGTTTCTGTATGGGTTGCTTTCAGGCGTGAACCTGCTTATGCAATAAATGCTGGAATGATTTCAGATGCTCTATTTGTCTATTCTTGTGTGCAAATAACACCTGACAAATGGTATACTCATTAACTAGAGCAGCAGAGGGAAACATATTCATGGAAATTTTAGCAGCAGCTTTTATTTCATAAAAGCTACTATTGTGACTTATCCAATTCTATATAAAATGTTCTATTGCCTTTATATTTATTTAAAACTTTTATATGCTGTCCCTTATGCATAGCATCTCAGGACAGCTTACAATCATTAAAATCAAATACACTAAATCAATCTTTAGCAATAATAAATAACATATAGTGAATAAAAATAAATTAAGTAAAAACAACTGCACATTAAAATACTAACTTTTAAAATAATGGTTTGTACACAGAAAAACAAGGTATATTATCCCGCCTCACTGCCTTGCCATAAACAGATCACAAAGGGTGCCTCAGTGTCTGGTGGTGAAGACCAAATGACCTCACTCCATTAGTGGGTAACTGTCAATTGCTATCTTTGTATTTTATGGGTTTGCCAAGGTGCCTCCTTGACCCTATAAAGTTCACAAATGTAACCTTTTCTGGCAGGCCTGTTCAAGGTAACTTTAGAAGACTTGTCAAAGGCATCTAGAGTGAAATGTAACTTTTCTTTATAGTGTTGTGACCTGTATCCAATCACTTTCCTATCCATATCAAAGTATCCAATCACCTTCCTGTGTATTGCATTCACTCCCCTTTTGTGTATTCTATATAACCCTAAGGAAATTAACATGAGGTGTTCCTATTTTGGGCACCCATGGATCCATGCATTCAATTGTAAATAAACCAATTTGCCCTGACAAGAAACTGATTCTGAGCCTATATTGCGGATCGGTGTGACAGGTTAAATAAAAAGGTTTTGACCTGGCAGCAAAGAGAAGTGCCAGGCAAAACTCTCCGGGGAGCACATTCCATAATCTGGACACCATCGCAGAGAAGGCCCTAGTCTGAGATGTCCTTTTTACCTCTTTCAAGGAGGGTTCTCAGAGCAGGGCCTCTCTCGCTGATCTTAAGCGGCATGAGGGCATATAAAGAAGGAGATGTTCTTTCAGGTATATCATTGATTTCCAACAAGGAAGCATTGATTAACTCATATATGTGAATAACTTGATGGTCCATGACTCACCTGATGAAGTATGCGCCAACATGTATTGGACTACAACTACCATGGCTAGCTGGGGGATTGTGGGAATTGAAGTCTGGCACATCTGAAGGGCATCGGGTTGGGAGAAGACTGTTCTAAACTAACCCGCAGACCACAGAGCCAGCTTCAACCCACCAATCGCACATCTCAGCCACCAATAGCTTGATAAAGCGGTTTTTGCAGTGCGTCCAGAACAACAAAAATAGAAGTACAACTGGCTGTAGTGCATAGCTGGTAGGAGGTATTTGGTCTGATGTGTCAGAAGTTGTGTGCAAATTTACACTATTAGGGTATCTAGTATGGTTACACTACACTTGTCAACATCTTTCAGAGCGCTATGCTGCCTCTTCCATGATTTGAAACCAACATATCTTAAGCAGAAAAAAATGCCCAAATTATGCAACAGAATACTTTAATTAGGAAACATATAACCATGACAATGCAATACAGTTATCACACTGAAAACTTTCATTTTTTAAAAAAAATCTTGCTTTTTTGACATGCACAATTTTCCTACCTAGACGAACCTATGAATAATGGCATGGGTTAGGAAAATCTGGAGGAGAGGCAGAAGACACGAGAGTTATCAAGAAATCATCACCCACCCAAAGGAAAGACACTTTATTATTGCGGCACTTTGCCTCTAGGACCAACAATTTTATAAAGATTTCCTCTTACAGCAAAACAAAAATGCCTCTGTACATGCTCTTATACCACCATATTTTTTGCAAGTAGGGGCAATGCTACCTTATCAGCTCTTAGTGAAACTATTTATTTCATTTTCATACTGCCCAGTAGTCAAGGCTCTCTGAGCTATTATGGTGTGCAGTACAACTTTAATTTTACTTTCTCAGAAACAAGTCCTATTTCAATCTGTAGAATTTATGCTCTAATTATATGGGCTAAAATCCAAATTACACTTAACAGAAGTATGTTTTGGATGACAGTCCATGTTAGTTATGGGGTGTTAGCCAATCCTAGTTATTGTTGCTCGGAAAACAAAAGGACAAAGAATAATAGTACAATAGGACAAAGAATAATAATAATAATGTTGTTGCTGAGAAAACAAAAGGACAAAGAATAGCAAATTCTCGAACTTTTCACTTGGATACAGCAACTGGAGAGTGTAAATTAAAGGAATGCACAGACTTGATGGAGAGTCCCTTGGATAGCAAAGAGTTCAAACCAGTCAGTCTGTCAACCCTGACTGCTCTTTAGAAGGCCAGATCCTGAAGATGAAACTGAAATACTTTGGCCACCTAATGAGAAGGAAGGACTCCCTGGAGATGAGTCTAATGCTGGGAACAATAGATGGCAAATGAAGAATGGGATGGCAGAGGATGAGGTGGCTAGATGGAGTCACTGAAGCAGTTGGTGTGAGCTTGAGTGGACTCCGGGGGATGGTGGAAGACAGGAAGGCCTGGGGGAATGTAGTCCATGGGGTCGCGATGGGTCGGACGCGACTTCGCAACTAACAACAACAGACTTGATGGCTGCGCGCGAGTTGCTATGTGCTTAGCGGGATCCACATCGGAATAAGCATGCACTGGATCGATAAAAAACACATTTAAGTGGGGCGCAAGTCCTACTGGCAGAACCGACTTTCAAGTAACCAGTCAGTAATTCCACGCATGCATAAATACAACGTTACCTATGGAAAGTTTTCAATAATTAGTTTTATTGCAACCAACTTCATAGTAAACATGCCTAATAACTTTTCCTTTCCCCCTCCCCCGCATATATCGGTGCACAATTATTTTAGAGCAAGTTCCAGAGAACTCAGTAAATTTACTCCCGTGCAAGCACGACTCGGGCCTGGCAGCAAAGTTCACTGTCCGAGGCGTCCAATTCCACGGCTGCCTAGAACGGGCTGAACGCCTCTTAGCTGAGCTCGCAGCTCCGGCGCCAAGCGGCCCCGAACTGCCTCTTCTGGCTGCTGGCAGCACTAACCCGGATGCGAATGGCAACACCTTCCGGGGCGCCTGCAAGGCCCTGTCCCTGCTCGCCTCCCTCCTTCACCCGGTGGGGAGGTGGGCGGCTCGTGCCCGCCGTCCCGACCGGCTCTGTCCCCGTCATGGCGATCCCGATGGAGACGCAGCTGCAGAGCATCTTCGAGGAAGTGGTGGTGAGTCTCCGCCGCCCTCGCGCGGGCCCGCAGACGCCTGGAAAGGGCCGCTGGCGGGGGCTGAGGGCCGGGAGGCAGGGGGCGCGGTGCCGCTCAGTGTGCCGGCGTGCATGGAGAGCCCGGTGCGGCGGGCCGAGCGCCGGAGAGGAGGAGGAGCGAGGGAATGAAGGGCCGCCGCAAGTCTTCCTTCTGTGCGCAAGGGGGGCGGTAGCGCTCAGGCCAAGAATGTCTCCGGAAATAGAAGGCTGGCGCTGGGAGAACGCTACGCTTTTGAGGATAGTATAGGAAAGGCCTTGCTGGATCAAGGCCTTGCTGGCCTTGCTAGCACCCCGTTTCCCGCGAACGGCCTGTGGAGGGAAACAGGCGTTTCCCGCTGTACTCAACTGCTGTGCAACTTGTGCATTCCTGTGCATATCTCGGCAAAAAATTATACAACCCCTAGAATTTCTCCAGGCTGCAAAGAAATGCTGGGGCGAGTTTAGTGGGGAAGAAAAGTCTTTCATGCATGAACACTGCGCTATTGTTCATTTTTAAAAGTCATTTAAGTTACTGGCCATCACCATGTGAAGAATCTCATAGTCTGACTATGGGGCTTACAAAGAAGTATTTCCTTTTGTTTGTCCTGAGTAGCCCACAATTCCGCTTCACCACTGATCCCATGTTCTTGTATTATAAAAGAAGAAAAATAGTCCCCTCTCCATTTCCCTTACACTGAGCATAATTATCCTGTGCATATAATTTCTCCCTTTACTTGCCGATGTTTCTAAACTAAAACCAAAAGCCCCAAGGACTAGAAACTTTCCTTAGATAAGGATGAGCTAAGACAATTGAGTTGGCTACTCTCCCTCTGTCTTCTTAGCTTCTTCAAGCACTTTCCAGAATGCAGAAAAGCCTGAGGAAAAAAGTAACATAGCTTAATAGAATTGGAATTGTATTCTAGATAGCTTGGAATGCAGAGTGCACAGGTTTTCCAGGTAACTCAGTGCCCCAGAGATAATATCAGAATAGGAAGTCCTGCAGTCAAAAGGGATGTGTATATAAACCTTGTTCTGCTTATTGATAATCTAACTGCATAGTCTTTCAATATATGTCCATATGTTTTGACCTACAACTACCATCATCCCTAACCATTGGCTGTGTTGGTTAGGGCTGCGGGGAATGCCAGGCCAAAACATCTAAAGAACCTCAAGTTGTCAACCCCGGTATAAGAATTAGATTTCAGTAAGTTTGATTGTATTTGTTTAGGACTAATTTGGAACTAAAGTGTTCTCTTTCATAGCAAATGTTGGTTAGTACAGCAAAACTAGGAAAACCATATGATTGTCAGTTATTATTTCTGAATGGTCATTATGCTTATTTTCTATATGTTTGAGTTTTACATAGAGATGTGACAACCAACCCCACTACTGACCCCACTGCTGGGTTCCCATCAAAAGATGATTTATCCTAAAGCATGAAGAAGCTGCTCCAGGAAAAAGGGTCTGTGATGAGGAGGAGTTTAAGAAGCCAGGGAGCACATTTTAAATTACAATCTAAACGAATTTATGAGAAAGCAAGCCCAACTGAATTTAAAGAGAATTTGCTTTTTAGTGTAGTGAGATATGGTGTTATAAAGTGCCAGTGCAGTGGTAACAAGTGTAATTTGGAGGTTTATCCATACATTGTAGGCAGGTGATGTTTCCATTGTTACAGGAATGACCAATGTGTCATCAGACTTTTTTTTTTTTTTAGGTTTTAGGCAAGATGGTTTATTCCTGTATGCAAAAGTAATTGGAATCCGACAACAAATTTTGACTTCAGATTTTGACTTAGTGCTCAGGTGTTACATGAAGCTTTTGCTTCCTGGTTACACAACTGTATATAATAGAGGTAGAATGCATTTTTTATGCATTGTGACTGCTTTAACTGGAATACATTAACTGGAAATGACAACAATGAGGAAGCTTAAATAAATATATACACACCCCATTGCTTTCCTTTTTTGCCATGAGCAAATAAAGGTTTGATTTTGACGTTTTGCTTTTTTAATCTTTCTTAAAATATAAGGAAATCAGTAGGTCCTAGCCAAAGATGTATGTCTAATACATATTCAAATATCAGACATGCATGTCTAAGTCAGATTGGAAGCATAGACTTGTGTGTAATCATTTGCACTATGGCTTTTGCCCAGGTTGTTGATCTTATTTCAGTTATGTGTTATCCCTAGCAATGAGTACAACTGTCATGCAATTATACATTGGCTTCAACAAAAGCAGCTACTATTACATAGTAGCTAGAATTTTGGACACGAGTCAGGAGATCAAAGCTATCGTGCCTACTTGACTGTGAAGCCCATTGACTTACTTTGGGACAGCACTGACTCTCAGCCTACTTCACAGGGCTTTTGAGAGGATAAAAAGGATGAGAATTACTCAAGCTGCCTTGGGTTTATTGTAGGAGAAATGAGTGTAAGTACAATATCCAAATAAGTATCAGTTTGAAGATAGCATTTGTATACCATCTAGTGAAAGAATGATAAGGTCCTCAGTCAGTTGTTTTATAGATGGTGAGTGTTTATCCTTCCAGTGTCATAATGGACTTTTCACTGTCAGAAAGGTGCAGACAACTTCCCCCTCCACATGTTAATTTCCATGAAGATGGTAAATGTAAGAGGTTACATATATCTGTAAATAACAAAGACTGTTTCAGTACAAAGTCTCTTTGCAATAACATTCTTCCCAAAAGCAGCAACTAGTGGACATGTTCAAATATATTTAAAAGCAATATTAGTTATATTGCAGTGTCAGCAGTTAGCTGAATTACATAATCACTTAAAGAGACATTGTGTCCAGGAAGCACAAAGTAGGAGTTTGCTGTTTAGAGAAGATGCAGTACAAAAGTCGAGTTCCTTTTATCAGTAAGCACTGGATCATGTTGGTTTTTTCCCCTTGTAGAAAACAGAAGTCATTGAGGAGGCTTTTCCGGGGTAAGTTCAAGCTATTTACTTGTATGATTGTAAATATTATGTAGTCTTTCCTGGGTTGCTTTATAAATAGTGCCTTTATTTGCAACAGCATGTTCATGGATACTCCTGAAGATGAGCGAACAAAATTAATCAGTTGTTTGGGAGCTTTCCGACAGTTCTGGAGCAATCTTTCCCAGGTGAGTATTTAATCTGTCACTGACCTTTTTTTCACATCACCCTGCTACAGCTGCCCAAAACTAATGTGTTATGTCAGTTTTACCATAACACAGAGACCATTTTCTGTCACTATCCTCAGTGTGAGTGTTTGTGTATCCCTAAAAGTCCCTAGCAGACATAAGGCCTCTGTGAGAAGTTTGAGAAAGCACCTATTCATCAAAGTAGCCTTCCCCAACCTTGTACTCTTCAGATGTTTGGGAGTTTTATTCCCAGCAACCCCTACCACTGTAGGCAGGGTTCAGCAGTGCTGGGAGCTGTAGTCCAAAACTTCTGGAGGGCACCAGGCTGGGGAAGACAGAATTAAAGCCACAGGCATGTCATTGTGACACCGTCAGTGCATTCACTGGAAAAAGCACAAAGAATCACTGTTTATTTCTTATTAAGGAACCACAGTTGTGATTGGAATTTCTGATGGATGTAGCATTTATTAAAGAGTTGTATATTTCTTCCTTCTGTGGTCTCCCATTTACGTATTTTGTTAAAATTTCCAGCTAAAACTGAAGCTATGAACAGCAGCTTACAGCATGGACCTGACTTGGAGGCAAAAAGAGACAGCACTTCCTCCCTTCCTGTTAGTTGCCTTGAAAAATCTCTTCCCACCCCCTCTACTTGTATAGTTCTTTGTATTCTGATTTTTTTTTTTTAAATATGAAAGATAAGTTTTCTGGAGTGTAAGTGTTCCCTAGGTTTCAGTTTGTTTTAACAAGTTGTGAAATGAAAAATTTATGTCAGTTTTTTTCTTTTACAGGAATCTCATGAACAATGTGTTCAGTGGATTGTAAGGTTCATACATAGCCAACACAGCCCTAAAAGAATTTCTTTTCTCTATGACTGTTTAGCAATGGCAGTGGAAACTGGGCTACTGCCACCAAGGTATGTTTCTCTCAGACAAGCATTTAAGTAGTTAACTATTGAAAAAACTATGGTACCTGAGTGGCTCAAGGCTTACCCTTAAAGTGACAGTACATGAACTCTGTCAAATACTGCTTTATTTTCATTTCTCTAGGCTAGTTTGTGAGTCTCTGCTGAATTCTGACAACCTTGAATGGGAAAGGACGCAACTTTGGTCTCTAACATTTAAACTTGTTCAAAAAATAATTGGTGGTGTAGACTACAAGGTAATGTTCTTAAAGTTTCAGTGTTGTAATGTTTAGTTATGCTTTTATAATGCCTATTTGCATCTTCTTAGGCTATAGAGAGTTACTTCATATTTTGTCAGGTTCCTTGCTTAGATCTAAAAGCCTGTAGTACCTTAAGGCTTGGGATAGGAGGCACTTCTGTATTTTCGGTTTATTCAGCAACTCTGTGATATAGGTTATTAATCTTATTTGTCCGGTTATGTCTGGGTCAAATACATCCCAGAGGCAAAGCCATTTAGCAAAGTCAGAAGGAGCAGAAGCATCGCGTTACCAGCCAAGGAAAAAAGCAGTCCAAAGACAGGGTCTGAGAAAAAGCCAGTCAAGTACAGACAAGCAGTCCAAATCTAGCACAGGTCAAATGAATGGCCTTTTTGAGGGCTATGCAGAAGCATGACACACCAGCAAAGCAATCCTATAAGGAAACTTACTGAAAACTGAACTAAAGGTGTTTTTCCTAAGGGAAGAGCTGGACTCAGCTGAGGGCTTATGTAACCAAGTCACCCAGGCCACACCCAGGTACAGCTATAAGCCAGTATATCAGATCTGCCGTGAGTCCCTGCGTCCAAGGAGACCCCTGCTGTCATAGAGACCATTACTTTCAAGTAGACTCATTGTTCTGATCTTGTCCTTAGTCTCTATGGTGAAGTCCGCTTGTGGGTTCCTCAGAGTCCACTTGTTTCTAGATGACTCTGTAATTTCTTTATAATTATCATTCATATCTCAAGGACCCACAAGGTCTTAGGACTCTGCCCTATCAGAGTCTTCATTTGAGTCATCCAGTCATGGGTCTGCATCAGATCTGATACTATTTGATGCTGGCAGAATTAAAGTGTGTGAGAGAGAGATTACTTGTTCAAGGGTATACAATGATCTGTTACTTGAGCTGATCTTTTAATCCAGGTTTTCTGCTACCTAACACTGCAGCTACCAGAACAGCCAAATGTGCTTCTGTTTGCTGTGGTTCTTATCCAAAGAGAATCATATAGATCATAATCTTGTACAGTAGCTGTGGGATACAGCTTTTCATCAACATCTCAAAATAGGTTGAAAGTGTACCACTTTCTTCACCATATAGTGCCAATAAGAAATTATATACGCATCTGGTCTGCAAGACACAATGTCAGACACAGTATTTATGTTGGGAACTGTGTGCACAGTCATTATAGTCAGATACTGGTATCCAGCCCAGGGGATACTCACACACACACAGTTAGGCAGGCTGATTCCAATCCAGCCTGGGATTGATGTACTTCTGCAAGTAATTTTCCTAAGCTAAATTTGGGAAGTGCACATCATTCTGAGGCCGCCTCATTTAAATGGAGAGAGAGGCTAGAAGGCTGCCATCTAGAGCCACTGGATGAAGTTGTGTGTATAATATTCATGGTTTCAATAAGTAAGGCAAATCAGGCAGTACAATGTTAAGGAATTTATGCATGTATATTTCTTCAATTATATATACTTCAAACAAGTGCAAGATTTTGTTTGAAATGTATGATGTGTATTTTTATAGGGTGTGCGAGATCTCTTGAAAGGTATCCTAGAGAAGATCCTAACTATTCCTAACACAGTGAGCTCTGCTGTTGTGCAGCAACTTTTAGCAGCGAGAGAGGTAAACATGTCAAACGATTTACATACCACAATTTGTCACGTTAAACTTCAGTCATCTGTGTTTTTCTCAATCTACTAAGGTTTTGGGGAAGCTTTTGAAAATTCTATTTCCATTTTGGCTCAAAGAACAAATATTGTCTGACACTTCCTGATACTTCAAGTAAGTGATTCAGTTTACACATAACTAGAATCACTTTTTTTACACATGGTTAACCCAAACTTTGTTGTGCTACTTCAATTTGTTTGATAAACTATTGAACAAACATAGTTTGTGTTCTCAGTGGGAGGTGGCGGCTATTTTGCTTCTTTTTCCTCTCCCTTCTTACTTCGCAAATATCTTTGCAACCTTGTAGTACTAAAAGAAGTGTATGTGTGTAGCCAATCTTGTGCCCTGTCTCTGTAGCCTGGCTGAAAAAAAGTATGATTCGGGATTCACGTGTAACCACAAACCCATGATTTAAACAAACCAACAACAAACCAAGGTTTCTCTTTTTTAGTTGTTTGTGGATAACAAACTGTGATTTGTTAGTGTGGCTGGAAACACACATCACAACAACCCAGAATTCAATAACCCATGGATTAAATGTATCATGGGATACTATTAATGTGCAAACAAGATCATTTTCTGTTTATAATGTGCAGAGCAAAATATATCTGAAGCATCACAGCACCTTTCAAGGCAGCATAGCATTTCAAAAAGACAGTATATCCAGCTCTTTAATTAAAGCAAATATTACACATGCTAAAAATATAGTGAAAGGACTATTTACTGTCTGTTCCAGTTGCTGCCATCACATAGAGGTACACTACATCCTGCTTGAACAACACACATAAAAGAGAGGCAAGCCACAAAATAAGCTCAAAGAGCTGCATGAGCTCAGTTCATGAGAGCCTCAGTTTGCCCACTCCTGCCATATAGTCTTCTCTCCTAGCCATTTGGTTGGGGAAGTTGAACTCTGTATGGAAACAGAAGCATAATGCTATCAAATATATAATGTAGCCACTGGAAAAGATAGGAAAGTATAATAATTTTTGAGGAAATCAAAAAAGTTTTAGAAGTATAAAGTGTGTTTGGAAAGAAATCTCTAAAGCAAGTTTTAAAAAAGAGAAAACTAACAGGCTAGTGGGTAATGATTATCTGTTGAGAGAGAAGAAAATGACAATTTGGAGCAGGTAATGAAATACCCTGGAAGAGGGTGTGGCTGGCAGACTGGAAACCAAACAGGCTCATTCCACACTGCCAGCATTTTATCTTGCTTGTTTGTCTTATAACTTGTAAAGCTGTGCCAAGTGTTCGTTCTGTTCTGATTTTGCTTAGGTGGTTGCCTATATTTTGGAGAGGAATGCATGTTTGCTACCTGCCTACTTTGCCGTTACAGAAATCCGAAAGTTGTACCCTGAAGGAAAGCTTCCACACTGGGTATGATCTCATGCATGCAATAATAATAAGAAAAAATTTTTGACTTCAGCCAGCAAAGGAACATCTTAAGGGTAGCAGGCTATTGGAAATTAGGAGTCTAGTTGGTGGCACAGAACAGGTATACATTGTGTATGATGCCACCCTGTAATGACAGCATGGTTTTTATGAACTGGGGACCTATGCAAGAATTCATGTAATATAAACCTCAGGCCACTTTTGCTACCTGTAACATGATGACTGTAGCAAGAAAGATCCATGCACCTTGTGCTGGCCAAGCTAGCTAGCTTGAAGCGCCTTGTTTTTGTTAACTTGTGAAACTAATGGGTACTGTCTTTCTGAGGAGGAATCGGACTGTGCGAGACCATTGGCCACATACATTTGTAGTCTGACCTTGTCCGTCAAAGCTTCCATAATTATTAGAACCATAGTTTACATGGAACCAGCTGGAATTTGTTCCAGCTGCTAGCTATTTCTACTCCAGCTGCCAATGGAAAAGTCCTAAGGCCTTTGTATACATTTCAAAGTCACCTTTAGAAATGTCCAGCAAGGCCAGTTTTGCATCAGGTACTACACAGAATTGCAAGATCTTATCAAGGACTGCATCACCATATTTTCTCATTACAAAACCACACACTTTTGGTCTTTAGTAGTCCATAATCCAAAGGATTGTTCCAGTACCACCAGTATGCCCTGCTCAGTTACTTTCTTCAAGCAAGCCAAGTCTTAGGCCATGCCATGAGAACCCCTTCATCCCGCTGTGGAACAGCAAGAGAATCTGTCTGAGAAACAACTTCAGACATTGTAAAGGAAACAGCGTAAATGCTCTGTACTTTCTCTGCATCTCTGTATTGTGAAAAATCGATATTCGGCATCAGCCTAAGGGGAACACACTGCAAGGAAAACTCGTGTGTCTCCTGGCCAGGATAACTTGCACTTCCTATTTCCTTTCATCAGAAGGTCTGAAGCTGCATTCTGGCTTCTCTTCTTTTGGGCATTCCATCCTTACTCTTATTTTTCTAAGTCTTATTTTCACATAAGAGAGAACACCTGTGGTTCCTGATAGGAAAAGAATTATCATACGTTGCTGTTTGCATTTGTATTTTAGAGCTTATGTTTTGCTAGTCTGGTTCCTAAATCCAGATATGAATAATTGCAAACCAAGATTTTAAATATTCAGATTAATCCCATAATACTGATTAATCTTTAAAATAAATTGCTTGATGTAGGCCTTTCACTCAAATGTATATTTGATTTCCATTTTTTTCAAGTTGTTAGGCAATTTAGTATCCGATTTTGTGGATTCCTTCAGACCTACAGCAAGAATAAATTCCATCTGTGGTAAGAATTTGTTATAGTAATGTAAAATAAATTTAGTAATAGTTGAAAAGACTAATGCATGAAGTATAAGCCATAATGTTTGAATATACTTGCTGCCTCTTACTATACACTTACTAACTGGGCTTGTCTCTTGATGCTGCCTAGGGTTAAGCATAATGGGGCAGAAGCTAGTGCTGGCAGAGTGGCAGTGCCTTACAGTAGCCACTTGTGAAAGTCTTCCTTGGGTTTGAAAGAAGCAGGATCAATGCTAATTCCATCCATAATCCTGTACGGTTTTCAGATATATAAAGGCTGCAGAAAGAGGCCTTTCTGAAATAGATTAGCTCTGCCCATTGCCAAGTATCGAATCCCATGTTAGCTTGGCACCACCACAGCTTGCACCAGTGCTGGACTAGAGTTTCCTGCAATTATTTTGCAATAGCTGGGAAGCTGAAATTTGGTTACTTATGTAACACAAACCACCTCCAACTCTGGAAATGTCTGAAAATAGGAAACATTAACATCTGACACTCAAAGGCATCAGTAATGCCTACAGAATGCAAGCTGCTGACTAATTTCTGTATGGAGATATGCATATTTATAAAGATAACTAGCAATATACTAGACTTGAATAGAGATATAAATTGTGAATCACTTTTTATCTTTCTGTTGTCCAATGCATTTAGGACGATGTAGTCTTCTTCCAGTAGTAAATAACTCTGGTGCTATTTGCAATTCATGGAAGTTGGACCCAACAACTCTTCGTTTCCCATTGAAAGGCCTTTTGCCTTATGATAAGGTATATACTCATGGGACTGTTTGAAAGCCGTGTTTCTTATTTAGAAACACGAACAAAATTAATGGAATATTTTTACTAGTTCAAATACTGGTAATGATGTTATTTTGAGAATGCACTGAAACCTAGTTGAGAGTTTGCTCTTTACTGCATGAGGAGGATATAAATTATTTGCTCCCAGCATCTACCAAACACGGGGCAGTCTTTTTATTCCAGTGAGATCCGCACCAGAAAGGCTACAATATGTATGCCTCATATGTACAACAAAAGATTCATTGAATAATTGTGTTTTCTGTATTCATTATGCCGAATGCACATGCTTGTCATTCTGAAAATTAAGTAAGTCCTTTTAACACTGGCTCCATGGCAAATGTGGGTGATGAAAGGTATAGGCAAATATTTTCAATATTTGAAAATACTACCAATAAAACCCTTGTGGGGGTCTACAAGGCAAAATGTGCTTACAATTTGGGAAATGAAGTTGGTGATGAAGCTTGAAATGTGGCTGATGACTTGCAGCCATGGTGAGGCGCTGTAGCTTGTCATGATTTGCCAAACTGGTATGTTGTTGGAACACTTAACAAGCCACCCACAACCCTAAAGCATGGGTTCTCGGTAGCTTGGCAACCACCCCAACAGCTTCCCCTCTCTGGCTACCATGTGACAACAAGTTGCAGTGCCCTGTGTTCAAAATGGTAGCCACTACAAGAAGCTCCATGGCGAGATTAATCTACAATGGCTTCTTGTTATGTATGAACCAGGTCACGCTGTTGCCAACTGCTGCCTACTGTTGCATTGGCAGGTAGTTGGGGTTTTGTGGAGTATAATGAGGATGGTAGTAAAAAATAAAACATTCACGGGCCTGAAATCATTAAATCACACACCCAGACCTCCTGTTATACAACTTGCAGGGATGAGAGCAAGCTTACTATCTATCAACATTTCTTGGACATTTCTTGCATCTGATACCCATTTTTAAATTTATTTTGTGTCAATAGCTTGGGATTTGTTTCCTTTTATGTTTTGTTTTCAAGGATCTATTTGAACCACAGACTGCTTTGTTGCGATATGTCCTGGAGCAACCCTATTCCAGAGATATGGTCTGCAATATGCTAGGTCTAAACAAACAGGTACTGTATTGTGCCGTAACAGTCTTTGCTTTGCACAGAACCTGCACTTTTCTTTTCTCTTTTTCTTTGCTATAGCTAACTAAGCAAAACAGTTGAGGATCAGATCATGATTTTTCCCCTTCAGTATTATTACTTTAGGTTAATTGGGCACTATTATTACTATCATTTACATATTGCTTTAAAGGTTTCTAAATTGAAAGGCAGCGATTCTTCTTAAATGAGATTTTTTTGGCATTGCTTTTTTTCCCTATAAGGCCAGCCTCAAATATACCCTGGACAGATTTTAATTTATAGCAGACAAACTTTTTTTTAGCCGGGGGGATGCGTGGTGGTGGTATGTGTACTTCTCAGATCTCTGGTCTATAGAACTTGTCTGTTGAATGCCTTGGCATGTTTTCATTACCTTTGGTGGTAATGAATGGTTTTTCTTTTTATGTGGTTTTTCTCTTTTTTTTTTTCTTTTGCCTTACCATGTGGGAGGGCCTGGTCTGACTTGGGGTAACTTGAGGCTGGCCTCATAGTCACTGTTTTGTCTTTTCTTTTTTTCTTCCTTTATTTTTGTTCTGTCCTGTCTTGTCCTGCCCATCCTCCAATGCTCTAGACCTTGAACATTGCTCAGGTATGTTCACAACCTTACTGTTGTATTGTGACTAACGATACGCTGGCTGCTTTGTAGCCACTGATTCCAGTTCGAGAATACACGTCTGGCCAGGGCTTGAAATTGGTGGGACTGTCACATGCTAAGATAAGGTCAAGTTTTGATTAAAATATGAGGTTATGAGAATGCTCTGTGGTTGGAAAAGGACATTGACAACCAATTCAGTTGCTGGCTTAAGTTATCCATTACTTGCCAAAACTGCCATAGCTTTTTTTTTTTTCCAGACTAAAAATGTCCTTGCCTAATTTTTTTAATGTTTGTATAAAAAAATGAAAATTTCTTCTGTTGCATCTAAGTATGATTAAGATTTATAAGTCAAAATTCAACTTGACTGGGAAAGGTCATTCTCAGCCTTTATAATAAGAATCTCCAAATGGGCTGAACTAAGCAGAGGTGCAGAGGTGGGGAGACGGGACTTATTTTGGACCATTATTGACACAAATTTGCAACTTACTTACTCTCCATGTTTGCCTGCTTATATATTTTAATATTGGCCTCTCCGGACTTCACTTTTCATTTAGCTATCTGAAGTGATATTGAAGCGTTGGTGTTTGCAATACTATAGTGAAGGTTGTGTCAGTGTTTTCATTTGATAAAAACTCTTATTTCAGGGGTTGTACTTGGCCATAACACTTGCTTGATGCTAAAACTTTGGTTGTTACATTGACAAACAATAAATAAATCCATGTCTCTGCAGTCTTTTCACCATCCTTACATCTGCTCTGTTTGCAGAGTTAAAAAGCTGTACTTCACTTAATGGTATATAAAGTTTAAGTGCCTCAGCCATCATGCAGGGCTTTGAGCGTGCAGTAGGACTCTGCTTTTAGCAGGCAGAGCTGAATGAATACAGGGCTTCCCCCCTCCCCCACCCTGCCAGCTCTGCTATGGGTACCAGTGCATATCTGATTACTTGCTATCCTTGTTTATCCCATACATTCTAGTGCAACAGGACAACTATGCATGTCTTACTCCTTGTATGCATAGCACTCCCTCTCATTGTCACAGAGGGAGAAGCCAACCAGGGCAATAGCTCCATGTGCCAACAGTAGCAAATGTGTTTGTTGAGCTCTAAATGTGTTAAATGATCAACCCAATTTGAATGGAGTGAATACTGTACTATGGACTGATACACAATTCACTGCATCAAGTATGTTGGTGCTTGTGCTGTTAAATGCCATAGACTGTGATGAATGGCCATCTCTGTACAACTGAGTATGCCATGCATTTTGTAATTAGTACATTACATTGCATTTATATCTGGCCTTTTTGCTTTGGACTAATATATTCACTGCATCTCTTTGAATGTTGATATATTATTTTAGTGTTTACAGCAGCTACCCTTTATACTTTTGTAGTTTTTAGTACTACACAAAATGGTATATACATAGTATACATAGTAAACAAACTAGTTACATAAAGTGTGAATCAGAATATAGACTTACTTTGATGTTCTTCAGTTCCCTGTCTAAAAAGTTTGCTGCTATATAGGTTGATTTTTCTGAAGTGAGAGAGAAGATTAAAATCGCAAAGTACATTACACATGAAGTTGATCTTTCTGAACAAGTTGTGGATTATCACAGAGGTGGGAAACTTGCTGCCCCCCATGTGTTTTGGCCCATATCATCCGTCTCTGTTGGCTAAGCTGGCTAGGGCTGATGGAAAATGTAGGCCAAAACAACATCTGGAGGTGTTGCCCAACCAGGGTTATTAGGTTTTCCTCTCTTTTTCAATATGCAGATACACAGGACCACACACAAAGCCCTTACAGGGAAGGTGAGGAGTATGTACCTCCTGTATCCCATATAGCAGGTGACCAACAGGTGGCTAACTTGCTCACTGGAAGAGCCAAATATGGTAAACGTCAGGTGTTTAAGAGTTGCAAGCGGGCACCTGCAGGTGGCAGCAGCAGGTGGCGAGTGGTGAGCAGGCTCCCGTGGGCAGTGGCAGTGGGCACCAAGTGGCGGGTGGGCACCTGCAGGCATCCACAAGTAGTGAGAGGCGAGCCATGAAATAAATTCAAAGAGGTGCATGTGTCTTGTGAGCCTCGGTTTGGCCACCCCGCCATGTAAGTCTTCCCTACTGTCTGTTTGACTGAGAAAGCTGAACTCTGTATGGAAAAGGATTGAACCCTAAACATAATGGACAAGATGTCATATTTAACTCCTTTCTGCTATTCTCATGTAAAAAGAATGTAGATTCTCTACTTGCTGCCACTTTCACTTCTTTGCTATGTCCTCCTGTATATTACTGTTAATGAAGTAAGAATTTATACCGTTTTAAAATTCCCAACATTTTCATTCACAACATTCAATTTAGAAATAGCATTTTGATACTGTTATATGCACTTGCCTAAAAATTATTTACATATTTTGCACAAGTTCAAGATTTGCAACTTCCGACATAGTTTTATCTGTGAGTTAACATGTCAAACCATGGCAAATGTTTATGGTCAAGTAACAAAACTTTGAAATGCATGGTTTTTAATGGAAATGCTGACAAACTATGAATTGTAGGTGTGCTGCCATAATAACAGTCTGTGAAATTTTTGTTCATTTGTCAGTGAAAAAGCATGAACGGGTTGTGTGTGGCATTGCTTGGACTCTGCAAATGATACCAAAGATCAATATTCAGCCTGATTCGATTCTAGATTAATCTGCTGAGAAATGTGCGTATCCTGGTACTTTCAGTCCTTTAGACCCGATCTTTGCACTGCAATGTCGTTTTGTTACAGCCTTATCAGTGACTCCTTAATTGGACACCACCACACACATGATTCACAGATGATTAATTAAAACAAGCTTTTTTATAAAGAAAAAAAATAACTCTTGTCTACTCATTCTACCCCAGCCGAAATGCATATGTTTAACTTGACTCCTATTTATATATGGGCCTGTGCGGTTGAGCCCAATGTTACATTCCATTTTTATATCCTGTCCCTTTTTGTCTTGTGAGGAACCTAAGGCAGATCACGTAAGTCCATTTTATCCCCACAAAAACAACCCTGTGAGTTAGGTTGTGCTGAGAATCTGTGGCTGGCCTGAAGTCACCCAGTGAGCACCGTGGCTGAGTAAGGACTAGGACCTGGATCTCTCGGGTTTCCAGCCCAACACTTTCATCACCATACAGGCTCTCGCAATTTGCATAAATCCTTCCCATGTGATTGGTGTGCCTTGTTCTTATCATGAACCTAGGGAGATACAGAAGCATTACTAGAAAAGAATTGCTTCTTCATTGGAGGGTGCTCTTAGGAGAAACACCTCTTCCCTTCAGTCTTTTCTCTGATTTTCCACACCTCCCAGTATATTATTATTATTATTATTATTATTATTATTATTATTATAACATTTCTATGCCGCCCCTTGCTGAAGCCTTGGGGCGGCTTACAACACAATAAAATACAATACAGTACAAAAATAGCAATATAAAATTAAAATTAATAATATAAAATAAATAAAAATATAAACGATATAAAAGGAGTTAGAAAAGTTATAAAAGAAAAGGAAAGAAGTCGCCCTGGCCAGATAAATAAGTAAATATTGTTAACAATTAAAATGACATTTAAATAAAAAGGTCTTCACCTGGCGCCGAAAAACAAATAACGACGGCACCAGGCGGACCTCTCTGGGGAGCATATTCCATAGATTGGGCGCCACCGCAGAGAAAGCCCTCCTCTGAGTACCTACCCTCCTAATTTCTTTCACGGAGGGTTCTCTCTGATTTCCTTTAGTTTCTGTTCATTCTTAGGATATTGCTGTTAGTTAGATCAACTTTACTAACCAGCCCCTCAGCCAGCCAGCTCATCTTAATGGAGTGATACTTCATGCAGCATCCTTCTGTTATTCAGATAGGATGCTGGCTCCTCAAGAAACACACTTTTTGAAATAGGAGCTGTTGTTTTCAAACTATGTGTGCTGGTTTTTTGTCATTTAAAATAAACAATTTCAATGTAAATTTGAGAATGCGTCTAGAACAAATGATTTCATTTCTAGCTGCAGACCTGCTTAGATGGTGGACTAAAATGTGTAGAGGAAAAATAAGTTCATGAAAACAGCTGTGAACATTCACAAAAAATTGTCAGCCTACCTTTTCACTTTTTCAGGGTATTCAAAATCTATATAGGCCATTCACAGAAAAAAGTTCAGGATAGCTTATCCTTGGCCACACTGCCTTTCTGTTTCACTAGTGCCATGATTTATGGGTGCACAAACAGAATGAGTTGTATTGATACACTTAATCCAATCTTTCCCTCACCACCAACTTGTGAAAGCTGGTTTAAAAACCATCAGTTTTTGTCTGATGTTTGAATTGAAAACCCAGTTTACAATAACAAGGATGCCCTAATTGATGTATCCCATGTTTAGCTTCCACAAACCTGGAAATGCAGGTTTTTTGTGCACCTCTGCCTCACTGCACTGCAGCTCCGTATCTAACTTTCTGTCAGAAGAAAGATTGACGAGATTTTCCTGCCTTTAGCTGATACCAGCAGACTACAGCAAAAATAATCCTAGGCTTCATTTTCCAAAAAGAACATATACTTGCTGTTATTGGGGTGCACCAAAAATAAGAACAATTGGGAGGAAATGATTCTGTTCAGATCAGATTAGTCTGAAACTGCCGTGGTTAAGGAGCTTGGTGATAGCAATTGGGGGTTGAGCACTGGAAGCTGGACCTTTCATGGAATAGCCTAAATCATCTTTCTGGCCCCGAGTTGGAAGGAATTTTCTTCCTGGGGTGAGGTGGAGATAAACTGCGTGGCTGAAAATTGACAGCTGTTTTGAGGATATTCCCTTAGATATGGAAAATTTTGGGCCATGTATGATGTCTCTGAAAAATATGTCAAGTCAAATTTCATATTTATTAAAATTTCATACCAGTTTGCATCCTCATGGTGATGTTAGAGTAGCCAGTAGTCCCTGCAGATTTTACCCCACATAGCCAGTGGCTAATAGGGGAGTGATCATCTCTGTTTCTAAAGCCATGAGCCAGTGATGTCCAAAGACAATCCCGCGGTCAGGGGGCCAGCATGATGTCACAGAGTGCTGTTACCTTCCCACCAAGGGGGTACCTATTTATCTACTTGCATCACATGCTTTTGAACTGCTAGGTTGACTAGGAGCTGGGGTGAATGACCAGAGCTCACTCCCATCTGTCAGAAGCTGGGCTCGAACCACTGGAGTGCTGACCATTTCTGGATGACAGTTCCAGCATCATTAAGCTTCTGCGCCACCACTTCCCCAAGAGTAGCTAGGTGCGTGGGTATTATTTGAATGCATCAGCGTAAACGGTTCAGCATCTACAACAGCTAGTATTTACTGACTGGGTTCACAGAAGATGACAAGCAGCCACTGATTGGTATCACTGATTATCATGTTGTCCAAGCCCAGGTTGTGGTGTTTATCATGGTTTTTGTGACTTATGGTTGAGGACCATTTTAAAACACAATGATCTATTCTTGTATTTCTCCCTACCACTATTGCTTGATCTGTTGTCCAAACTAAGGCAACACAATCCATTGTGGGGAAAGCTGTAGAACAAGTGAGCTGCCCGGCAACAGAAGCCTTGCCAAGTGGCTACTCATGTGACTGCAGTTTGGCGCAGTTGTCAATTGCATACCTCCTGCCCCCAAAATCTACTCTGGAGCAGCAGGTGGAAACCAGCGATTACTGAGGTGCTGCTGCTGCATTCTTGGAGCAGCCCTGCTGAGCAGATCACCAGCTCCTGCCTGGGAGTAAACTGCTCAGATGGTAGCTGGCTTGGTGGGGGACGCTCCAGGAATCCCCACTAAGCCTCTGCCCTACCCTGAGTGGCTTTCTTCCAAGTAGGAGGAGAGATGGGAAGTCTGAACTCAGTTGGGGCAGGGGGCTCCATTCTTGGCACATTCCTGCTTCTCCAATCCTGCCTGAGCAGCTTTCTCCCAAGAAAGGGCAGAGAAGTGGGGCTTTGGCTTCACTGGGATGCTTCAGTTTTAGGTCTCCTCTGGAGCAGGAGACAGGAGTGCCCAGTGAGCTCCCCTGTCCTTTCCACTACACTTTGGGGCATCAGCCCTGTTTGCGCCGTGGAGATTTTGACAGCTGCAGTGAGCCCAGCCTCCGTCCTCTGTGCAGTGCCTGTTAGGAGGAATGAAAGAGGACAGGGAAGAGCAACCACAACAAGCACAGCCATGGTGAGCCTGGTCATCTGTCAAGCTCATCATAGCTGTTTGGCATAGAATGACAAGCACTGTGATTCACAGAGGGTTGCTGTTATGTGGGAACATATGCACTGAGTGAAATAGCATAAACTGCACCACTCCTTGAGACGTGCAGGCACGTCTGTATCGTGTGGAGAACTTTGAGCAGTATTTCTAACTACATATCATGTCCTGCATCTTTAGATATACTAAAATTATTTGAAATGGAGCTCCTGTTCCTATACCAAAATCAATGGGAATTGTGGACCAAAGCCGACCTTAGGAGACCTTTCTTCTTATTTCCACTGATAGCATTCCAAACTGAGAAGAGTAGAGGGACAAATCTATGCCAAGAAATGGTGACTTGTGTAATCAAGGGACATGATTTCTCTAATATTGGTAGGTTTTTCTGTGTTGCACAGTTTCAGGTTTAGTCTTGGGAAAGGCAGAAGAGAGTTGGAAATACTCTGTTCCCAACCAACGAAACTCTGAATCAGCCATGTCTTTAGCTTTTAAGATTACAGCACACACTTTCTATATATTTTCAGTTTTCGGCTCAAATGGGGTACCCCTCAGTTGATAGTGGACTGCCCAGGATCAGGGGTGGTATAGGGGAATGCCCCCCACCCTGTTAGTGCTTTAGTGTGTATAAATGCAGTTCATTACTTCTTGGAGTGATTCATGTTTGCAGGTATATTGCAAAATGCAATAGCAGTTGCTGGGGATACTGATGATTACTGGGAGTTGCACCTCATTGCAAAGTTAAACCCGTTGATCTCCTGCCCTGACTAAAACTTATCATTTGAAAATGTTATTTCCATTGAGTGGACCTCCTCCCCCCTCACACACACCCCCTTGGCAGCGGCAGTGATTTCCTCTGGATGCAAATAATAGCTGCAAAGGAACAATTTCACAACCTTGCTGTTTAGAACAGCTTGTCCCTCGTAGAACTGAGCAAGAGCAATTCATAATTTAAAGTGTTCCTTTCTGTATGTCCCATGGGTTCCATTTCCTGGTCAAGTTAGATCGCTATGGAAGCCATACTTTCTTCTAAATACTGTTAAATAATAATCATTTTTCATTGCAATCCTGGCTTTTTGATACTTATATTAGAGTTGTATTCTCTTAAGTATCTTCATTCAAAATGGATGTAGGCTTGCATTGTTGGGCCTTTGGAGATTAGCCTTTTCCCTATCAAATTATAGTGAATTTCAAGCCCTGTACACAGTAGTATTGCATGCTGAATCATGAAATAGTTTGTAGTATTGTCTGTTGCATTCTGCTCTGCTTCATAATTAGTTGCATTTGGAAAAAAGTATTCTCAACTGGTGGTGTTAATATTGCCCTTTGTAAACCTGTAACGTGGTTGATTTGTGATAATGGCATCGTATTTTTTTGAAAGAGAGGGTCAAAAGCAACTAATGCTTTCCTTATGACTAGAAGTCTTCTGTTTTAAGCATGCTTTGAGAAAGCACAGCTAGATTTGTAGCATTTGGCAGTTTTGAGCTGGCAAAGAGCATGTGTAAGAGAGAGTGCTGTTCGCAGAGTTTGTCCAAAGTTTTGCCATTCTTGCATTGTATTGTTAATTTTTAAGCATAATCCCTTTTTCATGGCAAAAAGCTACCTACATTTGTTAAGGTTAGAATAAGTCTCTTTTCAATAATCTTTCTTTCTTTCTTTCTTTTAATTTGAAAGGGGCTTTTAGGTGGCCTGTTATTCAAAGAAGTTATTTGTTAAGTGGAGCACTAAAATTTATGGAATAAATCATATTTGGGTATCATGACAAATTTCTTTTGAAAAGAAAAACAAATACCAAATCCCCTTTTTTGCCTCTAGAAAGGGACACAGCATTTCATAATTAGATTCTGAGCAGCTCCGTACCTTTTCTGTATCATCTTTAAAATAATGCTTTTTCATTTTATTAAGGCTGTGTTATGTTACAGGTACATCATGTAAATCTCTGAAATCCTTTGCATAAAAAGAATGAACAAAAATGACTTACTAACATCTTGGAGTATATAACTTTCTACAATTCGCTCCTAAAACTTTGCACCTATGGACTTTTCCAAAGTATCAGTTCAGGAGAATTAAGCACATCATGCAATCTGAATAGGTGGTTATCAAAATTAAGGGATGAGAACACTTTTCCAAATAGGTAGTTACATAAATAGAGGAAACTGTATAACTAAACAGCTGCAGCATTGGGGTATAAACTGATATTCCTACACAGTGGCTGCATTTGCATGTCAAATTAAACTACAGGGGCTTGTATGTGCTCCTCTCCCCTCCAGCATAGTAGAGGGAAGAAATTCAGAAGCATTTACTTCTGCTTTGATTAACCACAGTTTGCTGTGTCATCCAGGTCCAGAATTATGGTTAATTTAAACAAGTCTGCTTTGGAAACTAAAGTTTGAAGATGGTTCGTTCAAAACTAACTATAGTTAATGTTATCCACATTTTAGTCACATCCAGTGTTTGTTGGTCTGAATGATATAAGCCATAGTTAAACAAAAGCAAAACTATCAAATATTTTCTCCCAGTCTTGTATGAAGAAACGGAAAAGAGAGATAGATGAACCCCAGATCTGCTGCAGCTCATTTTTACTCACCCACATAGATTTAACCTATGATTTAGCATGGCATACAAACATGCCCAGTCTGTCTGTGTGTATGGACTGGCAATGCAGTCTTCCCTTTCTTCCTCTCACACCATTTAATTAATTCTTGGTTTATGACAAGCCGCAGTTTGCCATTACATGAGAACTTTGGTTTGTATGTGATATCTCAGCTAGGCTTGAAAATCAGTTTCATTTCATAGTTAATTAGATTTATTACATGGAACTCAGAATACTCCAAAACAAAGTTGGGTGTTAGCTGTGAACTGACTTGGTGCCTTACTGTATCTGAAAAGTTAAAAGCATCAAAAACAGATAAGCTGAAGCCTATTAACTGTAGAAATGCACTGAAGGTTCAAGGTTGATGGGTTTGATATTCTCAATACAGCAGTGTTGAGGGCTAGGAATGTTATAAGAACATAGGAGTATAAAACACAGGCTTTCAGATAATTGTTGCTCCATAAAGAACAGTGGCTAGGTGAGTAGGAACATAACAATTAGGCTACTATTAAAAAAAAAAAGGTAACCTGTAACATTAGACAGTTTTAATGCCTTGGCTTACCTTGTAAACTTTTATGTTCAGATCCATTTCATGCTTCCCAAACTTAACTTAAAGTATCTACTTAAATGAAGAGTGTTAAAATGACACATGCTAGTCTTTGGAATACTGTATCTGATTTCTGCTTTGCAGCACAAACAGCGATGCCCTGTGCTGGAGGACCAACTGGTGGATCTTGTGGTGTATGCCATGGAGCGGTCAGAGACAGAAGACAAGTTTGATGATGGGGGCACCAGCCAGTTGTTGTGGCAACACCTTTCCAGTCAGCTCATCTTCTTTGTACTTTTTCAGTTTGCAAGCTTCCCTCACATGGTCCTGTCTCTCCATCAAAAGGTAACTTACTGCCATTAACAAATATCAGTCTATCTGAGCTCAGCTTTCCTTCCAAGTTTCCCTACTTCCAGGTCCATCAACTTAGAACTGACAATCTGTTTAGTGGGTGAGTGTGGAGATCTTTGCCATCCTGCTGCTACACATAATTTGTAAGTTATGCCAGTAGACCAACAAAGATTACTTTAGCAGGAATAAGAATAAAACAGCAGTGGCACGGCTAATGCTGTCACTGTGGGCTAAAAGGCCATGGTAGCGGGTTTAAGTCATGACATTTGTCAGACACTATTTCCCTAATCACCTGTCCAGGTGCAGCTTGCCATGCTGTCTGAACCTTGTGCCATGGCTTGTTGGAGGGGAAAGCAACCCTCAGACAACCCAACAGCAGTGCAGGGGTAATTTGAAGACTGTTTCATGGCTTTCATCCAAGCCATGCTGCCCTGGTTTGGATGACATAAGAAACTGCACCCAGGAGGGAGATGAGGCGAATAGTGGTTTGTTTAAAGCATGTTGGTGATGCAAATAAACCCTTTGTTTATTTGCAGCTAGGAGGGAAATAATAGCTGCAGAATATGCTGGGGAAAGTATTTCCCCACTTACAGAGCTATCCTGCGTATGTCTGTCTGCAGAACTGAATGGGCCAGTATTGCAGTTTCACTCTTGCATTGTGACACAGCTCTTTTCAGAGACCTGCCCTGTTTGACTGACAGCCACAATTCAGTAATAGCCTCATTTCTACTTGATATTTTGAAGCCATTAGTTTCAGTTTTTCAAGGAAGAAATACCCTTCAGATTTTTGATGTTTTAGTAATTATTACTTGTTGAATCCAAAATATTACCCTGTTTCCCAGAAAGTGAGACCTAACCAGAAAATAAGCCCTAGCATGATTTTTCAGGATGCTTGTAATTTTAAGTCCTACTCCCAAAATAAGCCCTAGTTAAGATCGTCAGCCAGATTGACGCATTTAGTACGTCTGTTGCAGCACATTTCGGGGTTTGGATAGTTATGACAATGTTCCAGAAGAAGATGACATGAGTGTATTTGAATAAATGTAGTTTTTTGTACATGAATAAATGTAGATTGTTGTACATTTGAAAAATGAAAAAATAAGACATCATCTGAAAGTAAACCTTAATACATCTTTTGGAGCAAAAATTAATACAAGACCTGGTCTTACTTTCGGGGAAATACGGTAGGCACAAGTCCTTCAGTGTTTGAAATTCCTATGGCCATGCTAAGTAAATGCTAATATGCTGATAGTTTATTATCCAATGGCATCTTGTGGAAAAACAGTTTTCCAGATTAGGAGATTGGAAAAGGTGTTTGAGGGTATTTTTTATCTGTGGAGTATGCACATGCTACAAAATGTATCTTTTCTATAGTTGGCAGGACGAGGCCTAATCAAGGGCAGAGACCATCTGATGTGGGTATTATTGCAGTTCATCTCTGGAAGCATTCAGAAAAATGCATTAGCTGACTTTCTCCCTGTTATGAAGCTTTTTGACCTCCTCTACCCTGAGAAGGAAGTGAGTTTTTTGCTATTATTTACTACTGATGTTTCACTGAAAAGAATACCCAAAAGACAAAAAAAAAAATGGGTTCTTTCTGGAAGCAGCGTACAGTTTCAAAATAGCAGGGAGTTGAAAAGGAATGGGGAAGACATCTTCGGGAGCAAGAATGTGACAAATAACAATGTCATGTGTTTAAATTTAAGATGATAAAAGAAGATGTTTTATATATTGTATTTGACTACATAAGAAGGTGCTGAAAATAAAAGAGATTATATAAGAAAAGGGAAAGGCCAGTGGGAGAGTTTGCATGATGCAGCAAATAATCAGCACAGTGTGGCTTGTTCTCCACCTTTCCGTCCACCAGCCAGTATCCCAGGGTCTTGCACAACAGAGACGATCTAATCTCCCCCTCCTTGCACTGATTGCAACCTCTTTTTGTTTCGGATTTATTTTTGGTTTTATTTTCCCTTTCCTGGAGTTCTGTGCTGAGATAGGTGGCAGCTGCTGTACTGATGCTCAGGAGGTAAGAACGTCAGAAAAGCCATGCCAGATCGGACCAAAGGCTTATCTAGTCCAGCACTCTGTAAACTTGGTGAGAAACCAGTACCTTGGAGGTACTTTGGAGTGACTGTCAGTGGCTCCTTAACCTTTTGCAAAACTATTTTTTGAGGGACAGCACAAATGTGTGCAATTTGGTCCATAATTTTCCCTAGTCTTTTATAAGATGCCCATGCATGAAGGACTAAAACATGGAACCTTGCCTGGCCATTGTCCTAGCAAGTGTCTGCAGTCAAAGCATAGGCGATATCCACGGACAGTGACTGCATATGAGTTATGTTATGCACTCTTGACAGCTATCAATTTTTGAGCTATCAATTGAACAGCAAAATGGTGAAGGGAATTTTTCCCTGTAAGTGACTGATAGGTTTATCTCTTCCTTTCAAGCTTGATCTTCTAGGATTTTAGCATTGCCTGGACAGCTCTTAGTCCTTTGCAGCTTTCCCCCAGCCCCTTGGTACTCCAGAAAGGGAAGATTCCTTTGTGCAAGCACTTTCTGTTGACACCCATCAAAGCTTTTTCTTTCAACCTGTCTAGCAAATTTGAGCATTATCTTTTGGACATGGAAATTCCAATCCCTAGTTCCCTGTAAGTATTCTAAGGGAACAGCAACAAATAAGGAATATGATGAAAACTGAATGGGGAACTTGGTCAAAAGATTAAATAGCATGTTAATTACAACTGTCTATAGCAGGAACAAGCAGCATTTCAATAGAGACCATGAAAGCCTGTAGTGTGACAGTTCAGTAAACCACTTCTAAGAATAACAAAGAATGTCGCAAGGGATCAAAATAAGATTAAAACAAGAATTTGGTGATACTGGGATTAAGAGACATTCCACTGGGTAATGAAAGCAGCCCACCAATAAACAAACAAGAAAAAGTGTGTAATTCTGGTGCAAATAGAATGAGCAAGATGATGATGTCTGTGTATAATCTACTGTACAGAAAGAAAGTAGTTGCCAGACAAGTCAGTTGACTGCCACTTTGCTGTGTTTAGGTAGCATATAGCAGAAATGGCAGTAAAGGCGGTGGTGGTCCAGAAAAAGATCTCCCATAGAATTGCTATTTATTGGGCCTAAAAGAAAGAAGGAAGGAAATTGTTTTTCAGTATTGGAACAAAATGATAGAAGGTACTAATCTTCCTAAGAATGTAAAGTGTTTTTATATTCTTCTTCTTTTTTCATTTTTATCCAGTTTGACTAAAACCATTTTGAGTTATGCCATTCAGTAAGCAAACATTATACCTTGTACTAGTATGATGCCTATATGTGAGAGTATTGGGAATTTCAGGATAAATTGCTATGAATATAGCTTTTGCTTTAGAGTGTTGTTATTAAAACAATTGTTGAAGGTGTTGTATTTCTGTGTGTAAATATTACCACAGAAATATAAGAAAGGCTAGACGAAAGAATGCTGTTCTGCTGTTGTGATTCAGTGCAATATGAAAGGATCAAAGGATTTTCCAGTACTCCCAGTTAGTCCCAGAACACCATGAAGAACAAGACTCAGACTTTTATTTCTGTCTTTGAGTGTAAATCTTCATGATTGTTGACGTAGCTAGTTTCAGTGTAAGATATGCCAGTTCAAGTATGCTGTCCAAGTATACAAATCTGCTTGTGAGATTTTATTTCTTGGACTGTAATTTATTAGAAAAATTGGTTCCCATTCAGGGATACATACAGTATCTACTGATTTCCAGAGATAGTTGCTGCTACAGAAGTGAACACAATCAGTGGAATTATTTCATTGCTAAGAATCCCATCATTGCATGACAGTAAGGTAGAACTTAACAACATGTTTCTTCTTTCCTTAGTGTATTCCTGTGCCAGATATCAACAAACCCCAGTCAACACATGCTTTTGCAATGACCTGTATCTGGATTCATCTGAACAGAAAGGCACACAGTGACAATTCGAAGCTGCAGATTCCGATACCTCATTCTCTCAAGCTTCACCATGAGTAATTTCTGTTGTAATATGCATTTGGATTGATGATAATTCTGGAATATATGACCAAAAAAGCAAGGCCTCTATAGCATATCTTGTAAACAAACTGGGAAAATAGGGTGAAAAATTATCACCCACAAGACTTTTTAAAGTATGTTTATTTAAATTTCTGAATTATGCCTTCTACCTGCCAGGCACCCAAAGCAATATACACAAAATGCCTTCTCGTTAATTATGAAAGCTCTATAGAAAAACCTAATGCAGTAAAACTTTAGTTTACTGTCCAAAATGCTTTGGTTATTGGGTAGCATTAAAAATAAAATTGAAATTAAAGAGCAACAAGCATGATGCAGAGTTAAATTCCTAGCAGATTTAAAGACGTTTCACAGCTTTACTGCCTGTCTTAAGCAAAATAAGGAGCAAGCCACTCTTACCTCCTTTGGGAAGGAGTTCTCAGTTGGGGTGCTACCACCAAAAAGGCCTTCTTTCAGGTATCTACCAAGCTAGCCTTTTTAAGTGGCAAGACTCTATTATGCCTCCAGTGATTGTCATAAATGATAGACAGGTTCATATGGAAGATGCAGTCCTCTGGATGCAGTCCTACTTTGTAGGTCAAAACTTGCACCTGCACCTGAAACAAACTGAAAGTCAGTGAATATATTTCAGTTGACTTTCACAACAGCAGGTATTGTCCTGTAGTACGCAGCTATCCAGTCTACTGTACCCTTAAGATATTTTCTCTTGCTGGTGCATTGGCGAAGACCCTTCTTGTTACCCTGTTTGATATCTACCCAAAGAACATAGATTATTGGGCAAATTAGGAATATAATTAGTAGATAAAGCCATATCCTCCCACACCCATGCTTCATGTCATCTTATTCAGTTAATTCCTAATATTGCTTACTTTCAAAGCAAAATCCGCATGCTTGTTCTTTATAGAAGGTTCCAGCCCAAGGATCCCTTACATTTAAAGGTTTACACGGTGTGTAAGGAGTAGGTAAGGGCAACAACACAATGCAGAGTACGGAAAAGCCAAGTATTAAATATAATGGCTCCTTTTCCATAAAACTGTGCCTGAAATATAGTAAAAGATCAGCACGCAGAAGACAACTTAATGTCCGATAAAGAAAAACACTACACTAAAAAGTAGTCACTACAAAAGCGGTAAAATTTGATAGAAAAATAATAGAGCAAAAGGCTTAGGTTCTCCATTCACCCAACACCAGGTGGCAAAGAGAGTTCTTGACATACCCTTTGAGTGCACTGTGATAACCATAAGCAGTTTCTGGTTCACATGGAGACGCCCCTGAGAGTCTCATAATTCTAGCATAAGTTTGCCATCAAATGCAACCTTTGGTGCCTAAAACCATCAGGCATGCATGTATTATCTTTCTCCCTCTCTTTGGCTATACAGATTCTTACAACAGAGTCTGAGGAACAAAAGTTTACAGATGAATGACTACAAGATTGCCTTGTTGTGCAATGCTTATTCCACCAATTCAGAATGCTTCACGTTACCCATGGGTGTTCTAGTCGAAACTATTTATGGAAATGGCAACATGAGAATACCTCTGCCAGGGACCAGTTGCATGGCTTCAGGATCCATCACACCATTGCCAATGAACCTCTTGGATTCACTTACAGTTCATGCCAAGATGAGGTAAACTGTAGTTAATAACAGAGCTACGTGCATATTTTCAGAGAACCAGCTGCAAGTGTATGATTTTAAAAATAATGCACTTTCTTTTTTTTTCTAGCCTCATCCACAGCATAGCTACCCGAGTGATCAAATTGGCCCATGCAAAATCTAGTGTGGCCCTGGCACCAGCCCTTGTGGAAACATACAGTCGCTTGCTGGTTTATATGGAAATTGAATCGTTGGGTATCAAAGGCTTTATCAGTAAGTAACTGTATATGTTAAACCAACAAGTATGTTCACTGTCAATTAGAAATCATTGTTGAGTATCGCGTGTGTACAGACATGCCCACCTTTAGGGTATTCCTGTGCATACTACAAGAAACTTACTTGGAGCACATAGAAAAACTTGTATGGGGCAACATATAGGTCTGGTTGTGTTTTTTCTCCTTGACTTAGCTCTTGTATGCCACCTGCTTCAGGATTGATACCCAGTTGTTACACTTGGCTTATGTGTACAGCTTAATTTCTGATATTCCCTATCTACAACCTCATGTGATAATGACAAATATGTGTTAGGACATGCTAACATCACAGAAAAAAGAGCCCTTGACTCAAAAACCAACACTAAATAATACACATATTAGAATACTTGGTACAGGTGTAGCACATCCTCAGTGCTCAAATACATCTAGTACATCTTCTCAGCCATTCCTAGAAGAATTAGCAAGTAGTAACATCCTTATAGGCTCGAAAGGGGTTCTACTCTGATAAGACAGTGGATTCCCTTGTACCGTTCAGTTTTTCAGAAAGCTGTAAGATGAGCTGGGAGCAGGCTGAACTGACTAGTTAGCTCTGTGCACATGGGGAAAGCACACAAAGAATAAATTGTACAGCCTGTGTGGCATGGTGCTTGGGATGCTGGATTGGGACCAGGGATCCCGTTTCCTGGTCATGAAGCTTACTGGGTGACTTTGGGCCAGCTGCCAGTTCTGAACCTAACCTACTTCACAGGTTTGTTGTGAGAATAAAATTGAGAGCAGAAAGCTCATGAAAGTTCCTTTTGGGTTCATTGGAGGAAGAAGAAGGATATAACTGTAAGAAGTAATACTAGTAGTAATGATCATAACCAATATTTTTGCCCCATTCTGTACCCAAATAACTTGGCTTGCAAGCTTTAGTCTCAAAATACCACTGCCACTGTTTAAACTCAGCTTTTCATGTTCAAGGCCTGTTACTCTACATTGGAGCCTGTATGTACACCTTGTAAGAACTGATCTTGTCTTTTGACTTAAATTCTTTTGTAACTTAGCTATGATGAATAATTATTGTGCTTAATTGGATAATAACAGGTTTGTGGGATCCTTTTCTTACTTTTCTAACACTGCATTTGCTATATTTTTCTTACATGCTATAAATTGTCAATGCGGTAATGGTAACAAAGGGTCAGTATGCCTGATTCTATAGAATGTGAGTCTCTGTGCAAATTTGTGTTTGCAGGAAATTAACTTTCACAGGAAGAGTTGACATTGCTGCATTTCTTCTCAGGTCAACTGCTACCCACGGTTTTTAAGTCTCACGCTTGGGGCATCTTGCATACTTTGTTGGAGATGTTCAGCTATCGCATGCACCACATCCAACCTCATTACAGAGTCCAGCTGCTAAGTAACCTCCATTCCCTGGCTGCTGTGCCACAGACAAATCAGAACCAGCTTCATCTATGGTAAATAAGTCACCATTCTAACTTTGAAAGCAGTAGACGCATCAGGAAATCATGGAAGGGAAGCTGAATGAATATATTCCATCAAGGCAGTTCTTAGAAAGGCTGATTCAAGCATTATAATTCCCCTCATGGGTGCTACTGAAAAACACTTCTTTTGACAGAAGTTTACCTAACAGCCACAAAACTAGACAAAATGTTTAGATGGGTACATATAATAAGTTTTATTTATTTATAATTAGTTCTGTTTATTGCATGTCTCCTTTATTTCCTGTGAGTACAAAGCTGTAGTTTTCACAATTCTTCGATTTAGTGCAAGAAAGTGGTCTGATTTGAATATCGCATGGTTTAGCAGTGAGGAATGAGCAATGAAAGTGTGTGTTTCCACCTTTCCCTTCCTGTTACCTTCTTCCTTCTTTGCATCCTGGTTTAAACTACACTTTGCTATTATGTTTGGAATGAAGAAGCAAAGCTTAATGCAAGTTTATTAACTGGGATCTTAAACTACACTTTGAAGTTGGTTTAAGATCCTGTTCAGTGAAATAGACATGCCTAACCATTGTTTAATTAAACCTGAATGTTAATACTAAGGAAGAGAGTAAGGAATCATTTATTACAGAGTGTATATACTGCTTTTCTTTATAAAAATATCTCAGAGTGATTTGCAGCATAATATTGTGATTAAGCCCCATCAATAAAACATGGGGTAGGGTTGCACAGAAGCCTAAGCCACCCCTGCAGGCCAGCTGCTGGCTTACAATGGCTTGTTCTCCCCCATAGTCCTTCAGCTGGCTCCAGCACATACTGAAGGGACTTCATGGCAGTCCCATCTTGTCTCTGTGCCCTGGCCCCCTCGCTAGCCTTATCATTACCCCAGCTCTTTGTGTGGGGTACTAAAAACTGAATGTTGGAGAATTTCTTTTCTATTCTCTTTGCACCAAACCAGAGTACGCAACATACAAGGAAATTGACAAGACAAAGCCTCCTATTAGTTAAAGTGCACAGTTGCAAAAGAACTAGGAGAGAAAAAATGGTAAAAGAAAGGAGAGAAGCGTTAGTGCAAGTCAGAAGCATGGGGTGGGGAGGAAAGAAAATGGGGGAGGGAAAGGCCCAGAAGTGGGCGACAATATCTCCCTATGGGCCATGTGATCCTGTGGCTGTTAAGTGTTGAAAAGGCAGGGCACAGTGATCTGGAAGCTAAACATGTCCCTGAGTGTGCAGGAACTCTACCAGGAACTCTACAAAGGGGAGATTTTAACTCCCCCCACATTTATGCAGCTCCTTTTTGGCTCATATGCTCTTGTGGTGCTGCTGTTCCCCAGGAGTTCAAAGCAAACAAACAAGAAAACTGAAACTAAAATGATTACACAACTTAAAGAGGTAGCTAAATGGGACCGAGTGACTGGTGCCCCAGTGTGGGGTATGTGTAAGGGCTGATGGTGCTGGCATCCCTTCTTTATCCTCTTCTGCCTGTAAAGGGGTTTGCTTTTTAAAATATTCTTGGAATATTTGCATGATATATTTTGGACTTGGAGTTGTACGCTCATTTAATGGCTAGAGGTAAATAGAGGTAAAATGTGTGTTCCTGCATCCATTGCTCTGATACTGCAGGGCACAAATTGTCCCTCCTTTTACTGCAAGCTCTTTAATTTGCATAGAGTTCCTCTTCATTTGCTTTCCAGCCATTTCCTTTCCAGTTATTTCCCAGAAATGTGCAAATATTTCTGACACTTTAAAATACCTTAGAGGTGACAAAACAAAACCAAAAGGGTACCAGCACCCACAATAATACTTCCCCATATGGGATACCATTCATTCTGTCCTTGGCTACTAACTTCTAAGGATTTTTCTTTTAAAATATCATGGAACCACATTAACTACAGCAGCAAGGAGCTCTGAGAAGAAGATTGAAAAGGTGGGAAGATTCAAGGAAGTGTTGAAATGGGGAAGGATGCTGAGAACTCCACCCTAAAAGTGGGAAGATTGCATTGCGCCCCTCCCTCAGTTCAGTGCTTCTGAACTTTGCAAGCAGCTCCCTTCTTTCTGTCATCATTTCTTCCCCTTGACCTTGACAACTGTGTGCACAGTAGCTTATATTCAATTTTCTCTTGGCATTCAGCTTGTATGTTGCCTTCTTCCCTTGGAGACTTGCTTTGATAGATGAAACAGCCAAGAAAATTGACCAGACAAGAAGTGTACTTGCTAAAGATAGACAAAAATACCTTTAAAAATATGATCCCAACTGAGGCACCAAAACAAAGAAAAGGCTGAGGAACAAGCAGTCGTCCTCCAAAGTGCTATTGCAGCACCAGCGGAAGGGCAGTCACTGGCAAAATTGAGAGCAGTGCTTGGGGCAGGTGTTTCCGACACTCTTGCTGAGTGCTTCTGTAACTATTCACCCTGTTTAAACCCTTCCTGGTTTTGGCTGTACATAATGCTCTATTTGTTCCAATTGAATAATTGCAACTTACATTTTCAGTTTGTGCGAACCTTGTAACTTGAATAAGGAAATGTGGCTGGTCATTACGGTAAAATGTGTGCTTTCTTCTTGCAATGTTTTTCATGATAATGCTTGCAGCAAAGTGTTTCCTGTTCCATTTTCACACAATCACTGTAATATACTGTGTTCTCTTCAAATGAGACTAGTATGTTCTCTTTATAGTGTTGAAAGCACAGCTCTGCGGCTGATTACTGCCTTGGGTAGCTCCGAAGTCCAGCCACAGTTCACACGCTTCCTTAATGAGCCCAAAACAGTCCTTTCAGCGGAGTCAGAAGAACTCAACAGAGCACTTATTTTGACTCTGGCAAGAGCCACACATGTCACAGGTACTAGTTACTCATAATTGCACAGTTGTTAAGTGAAATAGTTTTGAATGTATGACGTGAGAGCAAATGATCTGAGCATTAGTATTGTGTGCTATCATTTTTAAAGGTCTTGAATTATGGGGAAAGCTATGGCATCAAACACAATTGGTGTTGTGCTAGAGGTTGGTTACCCAAGCACAGTGGAAGTGACAAATTGGATACTGCCTGAGATATTTGTTTTAACTATGAACCTTCAGGTACATTTACATGTCTGTTTTAGATTTTTTCACGGGATCGGATTCCATTCAGGGGACTTGGTGTAAGGATATACTGCAGACCATCATGAGTTTTACTCCCCATAACTGGGCATCACACACCTTGAGCTGTTTTCCAGCTCCTCTACAGGTAATTTTTAAAAATATAGTACAGATATGTTTAGAAATATAAGCAAGCTATTGTGGAAGCAGATAATGACCCTTCTGTAGTGTTAAAGTTACCTCATGGTATTAGTCTGTTTCTGCTTCATTTTAGTTTCTCGTGTATTCATTCAGAAGTCTGCTCTTTAGCATTCCCACATTCTGTATTTTTAAAAAAATGTGCACAAAATATATCAAATTTTGCAGTTAAAACATATTTTCTCACAAAACATGGATTTCTAAACATGTCTTATCTTAAAATGCACATTTTATATGCATTTTGGTAAGAATTTTTTAAAATTTTGAGCCAAAATCTGAAAGATACATACATTCCAGTTCACACATTAATCCAGGAGGTCTACTCAGACTTGGAATGTGGACGGAATGAAGTCTCCAAGTATCCTCACATCAGGATAACTACATGAAGGATGCTATATGGAAGTGTACAGCAGGACCCCCCCCATATCTGTGGGGATAGGTTTCAAGCCCCCCAGTGGATTTCTGAAACCAAGGATAGTAGTGAACACTACATTTGTGGGAGTTAAGGCTACAGGAACCCTGCAAGAGTGGAAAACCCAAAATATCTCTAGCAAAAATCACAAATATTTCACACCCACTGAGAGACAAAACACATGCGTGAGGCTGGCTAGTACCAAGACAAAGAGCATGGTGTCCTCAGACAGAGTGCATAGTTCCCTAGGAAACATTCATGAGGTTTCCCTAGAGAAATTTGGGATTTTTCCACTTTCATGAGGTTCCTGCACCCCTAACCCCTGTGAATGTGGAGGGCTGGTGGTCAACCTCAGTTAAGTGAAACTGCAGTAACTGAGACAGTAGATATGGGGATCCCGCTGTATTTTTTGTAACCTGGCTCATAATAGTCCAGCTTGTTACCATTTTAGCAAAGATGTTGGAGAGCTTTGTAGAAATAAGCATGACATGTCACTCCTGTATTTATCCTAAATTGTTGAAATTAATTTGAACCTTTAACAACCCTATTATTAGTTTACCTTGTTCAAAAATTGTCATATTTGCCACCTTCAGTTGCATGGGATGTCATCTTTCTAAGAATGCTTTACTAATCAGGAACGAAATGACCAAGATCATAGTTGCATGAATACTTTCTTTGGGAAATAGTAACATGTCAGAAAATAGCAAGCAAGCTTCCAGGTTTTCTAAAACTCTTCCTTAAATTAGATATTAAGCAAATAAGGGCTGGAGGGGAGAGAAAGAACCCAAAAGAAGCCCCAGCGTCTGCATGTCCTCAGTCTTCAGATGAAATGTAGGTGGTCTAGGGAAGAATTAATTGGACAAGTCCCTGCTGAGTGCAGAACAATTTTACAATGCAGGATTTCTGACAATGGCTGTTTCTTCCTCCCCTACAATTTAAAAATTGGATCACATGGATCACTTTCCAGATCAGATCAAAGCACATTGTGCCTCATATTGTGAGATAGAGGATAAAAAATAAAGAGGAACAACTTTATCAAAGTTGAATTTTGTAGTGGTGCACTATGCAAAGAGTTAATAGAAGCCAATATGGGTGCTATGATGTAGTGGCTGGAAGATATGTAAGCTGTGAAAATGATAGTCCATCTTCAAATGGAAGACAGTCATCTTCCAGTTTTATGATCCAGATTCTGCATGACTGAATTATGAAATCAGAGTGGCCTGCAACAGCTTCCTTTCTTTCAGATGGAAATATGATTGCCTTTCTAATTGATAGCAAATGTAATTTATTTCAGGCATTCTTCAAACAAAATAATGTGCCTCAAGAGAGCCGCTTTAACCTAAAGAAGAATGTGGAAGAGGAGTACCGAAAGTGGAAGTCCATGACCATTGAGAATGACATCATCACCCACTTTTCCATGCAGGGCTCCCCACCCCTCTTCCTTTGCCTGCTCTGGAAGATGCTTCTAGAGACCGATCACATCAACCAGATTGGTTTTAGGCAGGTCTTTTAAAGATTCAATTATATTCCATGGCACCGTAAAGTCAGCAGGATTATTTCTGGCATAGCAGTTTCATACAAAATGTCCAACATTGAGGTGTCTTTCATTTGATATGTGTTGCATTCCCTTTCACTAAGATTTGCCAGCAAAAGGCAGCAATGTTTTCTGGTTCATGCAACACAACAACCTGTGGAGGGTTGGCACCCTTGTTATTTCAGGGTGGTTTGTCATGACAACTGAACTTGTCACAGTTTCTGCAACATGACTTGTTACCTTGAGAAAGTATATGTTGTGGTTGGATGTTCAGGGTTGCTTGTTTCCAGGGTGATTTGTGATGTACAAACTCAGCTGAGTGGCTTATGAATGGCTTGTCAGAAAGGAGCAGTCTGGCATGAGCAATGAAACCCGCAGTCATTCTCTGTGAACTCACTAATGCAGCATGCATGCTTCCTCACCATCTGCTTTTCTTCCAATTCATCACTAAGAAATGACATTTTTCTCTTACACATTTGTGCAAATTTAACTTCATTATTTCCTCTTTCCGGAAGGCTTGCACGACAAAGTAATTTCAACTTTGGAGAGATTTTCACAAATTTAATTTTCAAAAATTGTGTGAATTGGGGTTTGCATACATTCATTGCACTTCAGCAAATGTCCATACATCTCCCTGAACATTAAAAGCAAACAAGTTAAGGTGAAAGAAAATACGGTTAAATGTGCTCAAATCTTGAAGATGAAAAAAATTCTTCCAGAAAACTTCGGTTTCACTAACATGCCCAATTGCATATATTAGTAGAGTAGGTTGCAGAGGCTGTCCTGCAAAGGCTGGTTGTATATTTACCAGTCGCAGCTGGGAGGACTAAGGTGGAAGCAGGCCATGTCTGTTGGGAGTAAAGTGAACTCGTGATTGAATAACCAAGCCACTGTGACTTATTTTCAGTTCAGCTTATCATTGCCTTTTCTACCCAGCATGTGTTAAAAAGTTGCTGCATATCCTGGAAGCTAAACATTATTGCTACTCTCACAAAAAATCCAGACTTAAGTACCTTGCTGCAGGCCTGTCTGATAACTCAAAAGAAAATCAATTTAGAAAACAAAGATTGCACAATCACCACTCCAGGTTATTGTAATTTTTAAAAATCAATCCGTTCTTGCTTCCTTGATTTTGTGTCTGAATGCTCCATAAATAGTAGGACTCTTGAGGTTGCTTGCTTGATAACAGGAGGCTTAGGCAGAGTCTGTAGAGTCAGCGATCCACTTTGTATCTACCTCCATTGCATTTCTCCTGTTTCTCAGAGTGCTGGAAAGAATTGGAGCCAGAGCCCTGGTTGCTCATGTTAGAACATTTGCAGATTTCTTGGTCTATGAATTTTCCACTTCAGCTGGAGGCCAACAGCTCAACAAGTGCATTGAGATTCTCAATGACATGGTGTGGAAATACAACATTGTGACCCTGGATCGACTGATCCTGTGTTTGGTAAGGAATGCACAAAGGAGGATGCCTTCTTGGGTGATGAGCGGAACAGCCAATCTGTTCTGATCAATGCATTCTGTTTGGTGACTTGCAAACATGACAGAATGAAAAAACTTGCTGAGGCAAGTCATTCGTTCTAGCATACATACTAATAAGGGTTCAGTAGTGCTATGAATGAACAGAGAATGCAAATGGGCACTTGTAGTTCCTTAACTTCTGTTGCCCACCTATAATGAGAGAATATCAGTGCACTGTGTCAAATTTGGTTATGGAGGTGAAGTAGGGAAGGACTGTAAAAACTGTGTTTCCAAAGAAATTCTAAGCATTAATAGTAGTGACCTGCTGGTCTCTGCTGAGGAAGTCATCTGAGGGGCTTTAATAAGTGATGCTGCCAGGTTTCAGAACTGGTCAGCTTGTTGGCCAAAACTTGTGTGTTTATAGTGCTCGCTTTTGTAGCACATCTAAATTACCATCTTAGAATTCATTGTCAATTTCCACATTGTTTGCAAGCTCCAGAGTATCTTTGTCTTGTCTAAACTGTGCCATTTCTGTACATAACACTGAGCTGGATTTTTTACCCCTTTTTATCACTTTAACTCTTTGAGGAAAAGACTTTTTCCTTGTCTGACGAATTTAATGCCCTTCAGCAAATGCTCGTCTGTGACAGGGGTAGTGGAGAGAACATCCAAGTAGGAGGATGTCTGGCATGGTGCAGGCCAGTGCAGCTGCTTGGTGTGGGGATAAGCAGAACTTAATGCTTACTTGGGTATTAACTAAATTTTCTGGAACAAAATATGTCCCTTAGAGGGCAGGGACATGGCAATAAGAATCATTCCATGGAGGCTGCAACAACAGTTAAGTAGAGCTGGCAAACCTCCAATATTTCCATTTCCTATCTGCAAAGGAGTTAAACATGATTATCGAAACAGCTGATCAAGAAAGTGTACCTAATATGGTGATATTTGATGTCATGCATTGCACAAGTCCATACTGTAGCCCCCAAGATGCACTTTGACATTGCACATGCAGAAAAACTCTTATGCACAGAACAAGATACCATATTAAATGAGAACTCTTGTTTGAGTTTACATAAATGAAACCATTATTTCCAAGGAAATAACAGTCCCTTACAGAAAGTTTGCTCATCTATTGAATTTTGAGTGTGTGGTACTTCTTATTGCTTTAGAAACACGGATATAAGAGATTCCTAGAGCTGTGGAAGTTTAGCTTCCTTCTTTTTTCTTAACTGGGTCCCAAATTCTTCTATTCTCATGAACCAAAAGTTTAATTACATCAATATAACTGACAACATTGTTCTGTAGGGGGTTTTTTTGCAGGAGGTTTTTACAGATTTTTCTTTTCAGGCAATGCGTAGTCATGAAGGGAATGAAGCACAAGTGTGCTACTTCATCATCCAGTTGCTCTTGCTCAAACCCAATGATTTCCGCAACAGAGTGAGTGATTTTGTGAAGGACAACTCGCCAGAGCATTGGCTACAGAACGACTGGCATACGAAGCACATGACATATCACAAGGTACTTTCTCTTAATGCTCTTCCAATCCACATTATTTTTTATTAGTACCTTCTTAACATGCAAGTATAGTGCTATGCTTTATACCGCTAGTTGTTTGGTGGTACGGTGCATTTAATAACAGAATCTGAAGACTAGCAAGAGTGTTAGACCTCATGGGAGACCTGAGTTCAAGTTCCCATATGGCCGTAAAATCACTGGGTGACTTTGGGCCAGTCCTGGCTCTCATCCTAACTTACCTGACCAGGTTGTTCTGATGATTATATAAAAAGGGACCTTGTGTCTTCCCTTGGACTCCTTGGAGGAAGACATGGGATCTACATGTAGCAAATAAAAGTATGCATGTTAATGTAAAAGTGATTGCGAAAGAATGGTAATATTTCAGTGTTAAAAAATTAATTGGGGAATACTGTTTGACACTTAATCTATGTGCTGGGGGAAATGGGGAGATTAGTTTAAGAGAGCTGGGGGAGCCAGGGCAGTCCTTAGTATCTTGCCAACTAGTCTTGGAAACTGTATAGAGCCACCCTGAAACTGGCTTTGATGAATCCCTGGGGCCATGCCAAGTGCACAGAGTCACTGCTTCTGTATGCCACTCCCCCCTCCTGCTGGCTATTCTCGGTACATTTATGCACCTTTTTCGTCCCCTGGGCTTAGAAAAAAATGCATTTCAAAGCCTGGGTTTATATAGAATTTGTCACACAATAGGATTTCTCTTTGCATAGCTGTAGGTCAACCTCAAATTGTTCTAGGCATTTTCAAGTGAAATGCAAATGTGGAACACACTCAAATTTCAAGTACACTAGAGGATTGTAGGGTTGGCAGGATCTGCATTTCAAGCATTTGGGTAGACAATAGAACATGAGCACTGAAACCTTCCTGAAATAAAGTATATAATCATTTATTTTTAAAACTTTCCCCACCAGAGGTATCCAGAAAAGCTATATTTTGAAGGATTAGCAGAACAAGTCAATCCTCCAGTTCAAATCCAGCACCAGTACCTACCGATATACTTCGGAAATGTGTGCCTCCGTTTCCTGCCAGTGTTTGACATTGTGATTCACAGATTTCTGGAGCTCCTTCCGGTGTCCAAGTCACTGGAGACTCTGCTGGACCATTTAGGAGGCTTATACAAATTCCATGGTAAGTGACTCACCTAGCTTCTGGAATTTGCTGTAACTCACTGGAATTCTTACAAAACAAATTGTTGATGCCTCATCAACCTTCCTATTGGGGATGTTTCTAAGCCTTGTCCAGATCTACTGATTTTACTTAGCTCACCAGTCTGGTATGGAAGTAGCTGAGTAGGGCAGCCTTTATCATTTGCCATGATTGCTGGGAAGGATGGGGAATCGCAATCCAACACATCTGGAGGACAACCACATTGAGAAAGGCTTTGCCAGACTTGCTGCTGGGAAATCTACAACTCAAGAGACTGGCAGTTGTAGATCTGTTTGGAAGGAATTCTCGTGCCTAGATACATTTCAGAGATGGCAGGTGTGGTTGCATCAGAGCTCAAGGCCCATCCCAAAATGACATGTCAGTGTAGATGTGGAATCCCTTCTAACTGTTGACATTTAATACTGGTAATACTGTATGTGCAATGCAGATGGTTCACACCAAGCAGCCCCACCCTTATAAAGTGAAAGGGAAGCTCCTACCAGGCATGCTTCGAAGCACTTGAAGGAGCTGGTCAGGAAATCTTTCAATAACAACTGTGAAGAGAGAAATTTGATACTGAAATGACCAGGGCATTGTTCAATTGCATCAGAAGCTGAAGAGAGAAGCCACAAATTTCGTGACTCAGCTGAACTGTGAAAGTCAACGTACCAGGCAGAACAATAATGAGATGCTCTTGCCCAGTGCTCCCTTCTTTTCAGAAATGAGGATTAAAGAAGAAAAATTGATCCTCCATGATATGAAAAGAAATACAAATGATGTAATCGAACAGTTCAACTTGAAGATTGGTGCAAGTTACACTGTGTTGGGAATATGTATTCTGCATGATACCATTGCAAAATGAATTCTTTGCTTTCTTGATGTTTAAGCTTTATACTAACTGCCAAAGTAATGATTAATCAAACAAGCACAGATGGTTAAGTTCTTCACTGCAGTTTCTCTGTATCACATACTGGGACACCTTATGTATCTAAACTGTTCAGTGGGAGCCCTACCCTTCATCCCAGGGCACGTGCAGCCACATGGTCCTGCCATTCTCTGTTTTCTTTGACCAGAAGCCTCAAAAAGGATTTTTTCCATCTCTCCCTGAGATTGTGCCAATCTAGCTTTTCAGTGTCCAGATATGCATGGGACTTCCCCTAAATCTCCTGTATGTAGCAAACCAAATGGAGGGGGTGATTGTATGGCCCCCAAGCCCTCTCTGAAGAGCCATAGGATTTTCAGGACTGGGACATTTCGGGTTGCTACCACCCTTTGTCATGCCACCCCAGCACAAGCTGCTCTCTAAGGTCAGGAAACAGAGGGGGGGGGAGAAAGGGAGGAAACTGGAGTGACTGGGATATGCGGGATCTTGAATCTGCTTCAGCCTTCTTCTCTAGCCAACTAGCCATAAATGCAGAGTGGGGGAACAAGAAAGGCAAAGGTCACTTTCCCCTCTCCTCCTGCTCTGCTCTGCTTTGGATGATATGAGGTATCCTGAAGGAGTTCCAGCCTCCTTCTGTCCCACTCTGAGGCATTCCAGTTTAGATGGCTTTCTAGCAGAAACAAGACAGGAGTAGCAGGGTGGCCAAAATGAGCTCTGCCACTCCTCCTGCTTCACATTAGATGAGCATAAACTACCAACTCAGAGCTCATCTCTGTAGGATTGCACACTGCATGAAGCAAGATAGCAACACTTGTAAACAACATTCAAAATACGCAAAATGCTCAATTTGTATCATCTATAAAGGGCACACATCCAGGATGTTGTCACAGAATTTGGATTTTAATTCTTCCAACATAGTGAATATGTCAACAAATGTGTCCTTTTTTTGGCAGATCGCCCAGTAACTTATCTCTACAACACCCTCCACTATTATGAGGGGCATCTCCGAGATCGTACGAACCTCAAACGGAAGCTTGTCCATGCCATCATTGGCTCCCTTAAAGATAACCGACCGCCAGGATGGTGTCTGAGTGACACCTACCTCAAATGCGCTATGAATGCACGAGAAGAAAACCCATGGATTCCCGATGATATTTACTATTGCAAACTGATTGCAAGACTAGTTGATAATATCCTTTTTAAAAGTGGGTGTGTGAAAAATGACAAAATACATCAAGATAACTGTACTCATTGTAATTAATTACCAGTTGGCTGCCCTGTGGTATCATTCCTCTAGTGTGCAATCTGCTCCTATTTATTTATCTTCAGCAGCAGCAAAACTACTGCAAAATAAATAGAGGGTTGTATTTGTGGATTTGCGTGTCTGTTCTGCCCAGCAGCAGAAGCTGTGCTTGCTTTCTGAGGGTTAAAGATGAATGGATAGCAGCCTAATCCTGAGTAAGTTTACGTGGAAGTAAATCCCAGTGAGTTTAATGAGACTTCTTAATAGTTGGGTTTAGGATTGCACCCCACCCCCAAAAAAGTGGAGGACCTAGTGCCTGTCCTTTTCCTATCAAGTCATGTTTAGTTCCCTGAGTTGGAAAAATCTGTTAGGATTGCATAGAACATTTCACTATTTAGTGGGAAGTGCATCAGTGTAGCTTTTACCATAATTATTGTGACTGACCGGCTTGACAGGGCCGCCTGCCATCACCTGTCCTTCCGGTCTCTTGCTACCAGCTCAGCTGCCATGTTTGGTCCCCTTCCCTGAAGAACGCCAGGCTGGAGGTGCCTGCAAAATAGATCGTGGAGTGCCAATAGCAGCAGCTGCCAAGGAGTGCCAACACCATCACTTTAACAGGTGGAAGGAAGGGCAACTTTATTATCACTACCTTAAAAAATATTTGTCACCAAATCAGTGGTCCTCCATGCAAGTCTCCCTGCAGGGTCATTACTCAGAGCGAGGTGTTGTGGCAGAAGGTGGCCGTGCAGAGCACCTGTGCCACTTGCGGTTTCATGAGAAGCTGCTTAAAGTTCCACAGATGAAGTAGTCTTTGCTGTTGCAGCAAGGCCACTGGGCTGCTGCCCGCTGGCACAGCCTGAGGAAGGATGCTGCCATTCTTCCCCGGACTGAGGCAGTGGGGTGGGGGGCTGCATGTCAAGGTGGAGGAGGTGGTGGTGCCTCCGTCTTTGCCTGGCCCTGCTTATACTCCTGCATGGTGTGTTCTGCTCCCTGTGACAGTGTGCTTCCTTAACTGTGGCCACCAATGGCTGGGAAATCACCCAGTCCCTTCCCTAACTGTGACTGGAGATTCAATGAGTTTCCTAACCCAGCTGCCCATGCGCTTCATGTTACTTGCGTTGAGCTTATGGCACTGACGGTTCCAGGCAAGGATGTGGGCAACGCCCTTCTGAACGTTGTGCTGAAGAGGTACGTGGAACTCTCTCTGAGGAGGAGGAAGCTCTGTTGTGAAAATAGAACTTTTAAGAAGGCAGCATTTTTATCTTGACAAAGGATCAAAACAGCCATGATTCCCAGATGGATTTGTTTCTGAAATGTTTTCACATCTTTAAAGTACCTACGCCAAATACTAAACACCAGAATTGTGTGTCTTTTCCACCTCCTTTCTAACAGTCAGCCTCTTGTGCCCAGAGACAATATCACAGCGTGGATGAATGCAATTGGACTGATCATCACAGCCTTACCTGTAAGTCATTGGTCTTGTGCTTTGACTTCTGATCTAAGGAAGAGAGACTAAACTTCCAGCTTCTTCACAAGAAATATAATAGGAAAACCAGGACAAAATGCTGACCATTCATTCAGTTATTCCGTTTCTTTCTTTTTCTGGCAGTTTTGTTCAACAATATTTTGGATGTGAGGAATCAAAGCTAGACAATCATCATTCTTTGTCATGCTCTGTGGTCCTTGGCAGAGACCCAGTATGTAAATGTGAACAGTGAAACTGAAAGAATGAACACCTTGTATTCATGCCCCTCAAAATCAAAACTAATACCAGATTTTTGAAATACGTACACTTGATCTAAAAAGGGGAAACATTCTATACATTGCTGAAAGCTAATGGTGGCACAGGGAGATGCTACAGTTCAAATTTGCTGTCTGGTTCTCAGCTTCCTCCAAAATAGCAAATACCGTACTCTCCCTCTACTGCCAGTTTCTGTAAGAGAAGTTGTCTTTAGAGCTAAAGTGCATGCTTTGGGAATGGTATTCATTTTGATTCTCTGGAGCATGTATAGAAAATGTTTGAGAGGTCAAAGAAAGGTGTAGACCTCACATTATGGGCATACATTTACACAGTAATTATGTACCTATTTGAAAATTGTTAGTAGACATATTATGGCCGTTCCCTCTTGCCATTCATAATGTTTCATTACTTTGTGTGCTTGGGATGCTGTGACAAGAATGCTGTTTGCTTAACATTGGATGATGATTCAGGTAGTGTTGTTTCCTACATCCTTAGCTGTGCTGCCATGTCATGCCAGCATGAATCTTCCTACACCTTTCTTATGGCTTCTGCACTAGTGCATTACTAGAGCGCCGTGAGACAAAGCCAGAAGGAAATGGCAACTTGGCTGCTTGCAGTGCAAGAACTGGGCATGCTGATATGAAGACACCTCATATGCTTGATGCTTCTCTTTGTGTAGTTGAATGTCCGAGGCCAGTGCACTCTAACTGTTGGGGTGGGGGTATGTCTTTGTTTTTCAAGGAGCCCTATTGGATCGTCCTTCATGAACGGATTGTGAGTGTTATCAACAGTCCTAGCTTGACTTCAGAGACTGAATGGGTTGGTTACCCCTTCCAGTTGTTTGACTTCACAGCTTGCCATCAGTCTTACTCCGAGATGTGCTGTAGCTACACTCTGGCATTGGCACATGCTGTCTGGCACCACTCAAGTATTGGCCAGCTTTCCCTCATTCCCAAGTAGGTGTAGTAATCTATTCTGTGAATATTAGTTTCAGCTAAATACTAGGCTATTTGCAGATGAAGTGCATGTACTGTTTCCCTAGAACACGACTTGTAGGCAAATGCCCTCTATTGAATTGTAATTTAATTGCATATGTCCTTTAACAGAAACTCTGGATTTGTGCCTTAATTTCAGAGTGTAAAATAATGTATTTTCTAATAGGTTTAGTTTATGCTGGTCTTACTTGCTGTAGCTTTTGAAATGTTACAGGTTTCTTACTGAAGTGTTGCTTCCAATAGTGAAGACTGACTTCCAGTTACTCTATGTATATCATCTTGTTGGCCCATTCCTTCAGCGGTTCCAGCAAGAGAGAACAAGATGCATGTTAGAGGTAAGTACTGAGCAACACAATAAATCCAACATTTAGCAAAAAGGAAGGACAGCAAACCTTTGAATTGTGCAGGATACTTTTCTTTCTCAGCTAGCCGGAACCTTGCTAGCCTACCCTGCCAACCAATTGGTCCATTGAAAAGATATTTTATATCTCTGCCATTGTGTTTATTCTTAGTTTTGTCTTCATGTTGAAGAAATTCAAAGATAACCTTGTTTGCAGTGAATTGTAGTGTGAGGTAGCACTGGAAGTTTTGTGTGTGTGTTCCTAGTTTGAAAGTAGGACACAAGAGCTGATAAGTCATACGGCTGAGTAACCATATGATTCTTACAAAACTCTTTTGGTCACTTTCTTTGTTCTCATGGCTTGTTGCTTTTAATGTCTGACACTCTTGTTACTTGGGGGATGGAGGAAGCAACCCAGTCAGGCCTCCAACCCAGCTAAATGAACAGAGCTTGGGTTAAAGTTATCACAGAAAAGCAGAGCACGTTAAATTCCGGCATTCACCAGCTTGTCTCTGCAAGCACAACAAAGACATTTAAAAATAACTCCCCAGGACGCTTGGGTGTCATAAAATCAATTATGCTAATGCCGTAAGTAGCTAAATATAGCCGACTTCAAGCACTATTTTTGAAGGCAAGAAGGAACATCTGTGTATGTGCGCATTTGTAGCTCAGCTTAGATAGCTAGCCAAGCAGCTAGAGGAATAGGATAAATAGAATTAGTTTATTCTCATTTATCCACTTCGAAGGAAGAACATTTCTTAAAATCTAAACATTTTAGTTATGAGGTATTTTGCTACCCAATTCAGATTTTTAAAATTTGAGAGCCCTTGTATTGCTGTGAATTTGAATGAATCTCATACCTAACATATTTTGGATGCAGATGGACTTAAAAGCAAGTCCACATTTGAATAACAGTACTAAGAACTCGCTGCTGAATGAGAAGCATCCTTGTGGGTCTTTTGATAGACCATAAAGCTCCAGCAGATTTGGTGAATTCTTCTCTAAATCTCATATCCGTTGTCAGTTTGTAGCCCATTATCTCCCTTCCTCAAGAATTTTTCCCCATTTGTTGACTACGACTATGATTTTATATGGGAAATTGATCATTTTAAGCTGGCAAAATATGATCTGGGATCTTGATAGACAACAACATTCAATATAGAGCATGAAATAAAAGTTTCTTGGGCAAGAAACTCAGGGACCTAAAGGCCCAGGTGGCCTTTTCCTCAATCTTGCTTGTCCAGGGGTTTGGGCCAGCCAGGAAAGGAGAGTTGCCGAGGTGAACAACTGGTTCAGGGTGTGGTGCCAGAAGGAATGCTTCAGGTTTCTCGACCACAGCACCCGGGTTCTTGCCAATGGACTTCTGGTGAGGATGAGGTGCACCTCGCAAGGATGGGGAAAAGCTTCAGAAATGCTCTAGCGAGCTTCGTCTGGAAGGAACTAAACCAAGGGGGGATTCAGCCCCCCAGAAACTTGTCCTGTTGGGACAAGTGAGGGGAGACCAGGGTTCTGGGTCCAGGGTATTAGAGGTACTGCAGGGGCTGGTGGGACTCCTACAAAGAGGGTGTTCGTATCAGGCAAGATGGGAGGAAGGAGGAAGCTGGGGGATCCAATAAAGGGGTTTGTGGGAAGGTGATGAGATGCATGTACACCAATACTAGGAGCCTGAGTAATAAGCAAGAGGAGCTTGATGCTGTCCTGGGAATAGGAAGGCATGACCTGGTGGGAATCACAGAAATGTGGTGGGATGAAAGGCAAGACGGGAATGTAAACATCGAGCGGTATCACCTGTTTAGAAAGGACAGGAAGGAAAAGAGGGGATGAGACATAGCATTATATGTCAGGGAATGACCTAGAAGAGGGGGTGACCAGTCTGCTTATCAAATTCGCAGGTGATACTAAAATGGGGGCGGTGGCCACAACTGAGGAGCAGGTACTGTGAATCCAAAAGGATCTGGACAAACTAAGGAAGTGGGCCGGGAACAACAGGATGGCATCCAATGCAGAATGGGTATCATAAGTACAGGTTAGGAGAAAAGTGGCTGGAAAGCACCACTTGAGAAAAGGATCTTGGGGTGCTGGTTGAGTGCAGACTAAATGTGTCAGTGTGACGCAGCAGTCAAGAGGGCAAGCACCATCCTAGGATGCATAGCCAGAAGCGTGGCTTCTAGATCGAGAGAGGTATTGCTGCCACTTTGTATGACTCTGGTGCACCCACAGCTAGAGTATTGTGCTCAATTCTGGGCCTCTCATTACGAGAGGGATATAGCAAGGTTGGAATCAGTGCAGTGAAGGCCACAGGGATGGTGGCTGGTTTGCAGGGTAAGCCATATGAGGAGAGGCTGAGGGAACTGGGTCTTTTCAGAAGAGTAGACTCACAGGGGACCTGTTAGTGACATACAGGTATGTGGGGGGGTGCTCAGAGGTGCAGTGGAGGGCAGGACATTGACTTCCAATGGCGCAAAGCTCAGGAAACCAAGATTCAAGGTGGATGCCATGGTTGGGACCCCTAGGGCATGGAATGGGCTTCCACAGGAGGTGGTTGAAGCTCCATCAGTGAGGGTGTTTAAGGATAGGCTGGACATGCACATGGTAGGCATGTCATGAGTGGAGTTTGCTGGAGCTGGGGGTCCGACTGGATGGTCTGGGAGACCCCTTCTGACTTGTTCTGTTTCTGTGTTTCTGTGTTTTTACATGGAATGGACACGCAGATGCTTTACAGTAAATTCATGATCCTTGCCTTCCTTGTATCTCTTTTTCATTTCTTGGATGCTTTCCTCCTCTTAGGATAGAAACATTCACTATACAAATAAAAAGAATTTAAACTAAAGCAACTGTAAAGATTATGTATTTTCAGAACATGTTTGTCTCTGTATGACTATAGATTGGAGTAGCTTTTTATGAAATGCTTCTGGAGGTTGACCAGTGCAACACACATCTCAACTACATGGATCCCATATGTGATTTTTTGTATCATGTGAAGTACATGTTTACTGGAGACAGTGTGAAAGATCAAGTAAGTGAATAATAATTTATTGAATTAAGCACTGTGTTGTGTAACTGGAGCTATTTTTGGTTCCCTCTTTTAAATTGTGAAGCAAGTCAACGGAAATAGCATTGTAAGCAACATGAGGCCAACTGAAGACTCCCACTCTCTCCTTTTTCTTTCCATTTCAGACAGAAAAGTTGAAACTTAGTCTAGTTCTGTGGCAGAGCATATCACATCGCATAAGTCACTGATATGGACCTGATGTGAAGCTTTTGACTTTTTTTCCCCAAACATAACTATATGAGATTGCTCTGCAGTTTTATACCAAGAAAGTCTAAGAATTGAACCAAGGTTAGCACTAATGACAAGACAAACCAGGCCACTGCTCCCACCTTCCGTATACAGCCATAAGCTGTTCCAGAGTAGAAAATGAGAACTGGAAAAAGAAGGTGGGCTTTTCCCAGACATCTGAATGCTGATAAAATGTCAGAAGGAACAGGCTGAAAAATAGCTGCAAGCTGGGAAGTGGGTAAGAATTTGCATTGTATCCCTTTTCAGGGCATTTTCTCCCTGTATTTTATTTAAGGTCAGTGAAACAAGATTAACATAGGATTCTTTCTAAGAATTTCTATAAAACACCACTATTAAAATTATAGTGTTGGGTCCTTATTCATATTGATTTCATTCAGTCTTCATTCCTGATTCATTAAAAAAAAATCCGCTAAAAGAGTGACATTGGGTACAACCGTATACTCATAGTTAGCCATTTCTAAGCCTTCAAGGATGGATGAAATAGAACTTGAACTAGTCAATACCTTTTCACAATATTTTTATTTTCTCTTGATTCATATTAAAGGTTGAGAAAATTATCTGCAACTTAAGGCCTGCTTTGAAACTTCGTCTGCGTTTCATACATATCAGCAAAATGGAGTCTGCCTCTGTTCCTCAGCAACCAATAAGCAACGTGTCTCCAGCACCTCAGCCCAGTCAAGTCCCAGTGAACGTTGCATTGCCAGTGGCCCAGTAGAACGAGGCCTTAACTAAATGGTGTCTCTGCCAAGGACATTTTACATTGACCAAGATGAACTCTGAATTTGTTTGAAAAACATTGTGTGCCGGTTAATTTATATCACTTTTTCTGAGAATACAACTGCAAGCCAACATATTTTATATATCTTTTGGCTGACATTTTACCCATCAAAGAAACTTTAGATAAAGTGGACAACACTGCTCATTCTTGTCACTGTTTTCCTTATTCATGTTTCATTTTTCTCATCAACAGTAACTGTTCCTTTTTTGGATTTACATTGGAAATGCTTTATACTTCATGCTGTTTCCAGCATTGCCTTTGGCCAATGATATGGGTCAGTCAAAGGGACACTGTGATTCTCACTTTCTTTTAAAGTCAGAATACATTAAGCTTAAGCCTCTTACATCTCACTGATATGCAGGTTGACTTAAAGCCAAATAGCCCTACCAGTTGGATATTCTGTGAAATCTGATTGACGTGCTGGTGTGAAAGGCAGATAGATCCTCTGACTCCACAGTTATCATGGAGCCAGACCTTGCTGATGCCAGCTGGTATTTTGCCTCAGCAGCAGTCTTGCTGAAGGCAGGGATACAATAGGGTAGTAAAAATAGAATCTCTCTGAATCATGGATAGCAAATATGCTAGATGAACAGTCTTCTCACCTGGCATCCAGTGTCTGAAATGTAATTTATATTTAAAAATCTGTATATTTTATATGAACGCTGTAGAATTTTGTTTCGTTTTAGGCTGCCTCAGCTTTGAAGGTTTGTAATAACTATACTTTGGACTTGTATTATGCTTTCATTTTGTTTTGTTTTTTTCTTTTTGCACGTGCATTTTGTGGGGAGAGGTAGGATTTGACATCTAATTAAAATGTAAGACTTGTAAAATTTGCTAATTTGGTAGCACTGAAAATGTGTAATAAACATTTTTATATCTATGTAACCTTTTCAATAGCATCATTTCATATTGAAAATTACTTCATGTTATAATTAGAGTGGGTGGTCTCAGGCCATCAAAATACAGAGGTTTATCGCTTTTTCAAAAACTTCACCTTCTGATGGAACTCAGTATTCTAAGAGAAAGAGTACCTATTAATGTTCATTGTAAATTCATGAGGAAGAAACTAAGTCTTAATGTATCATTACATTAATGTGTGCCCTCGGTAACAAAATAAATAGCAAATCCACTTTACTTAGAGGTCCTAACATTAGCTTCTAAGAATGATGCATTTGTGGCCTTAAGGCTCCCTGAAACCAAAATCCTTTACTCAGAGTTGACTGCGGTATCACAGAGTCAGAGAAGGCTCACACGCTCCATGTGAAGGTCCATCCAAAGCGTGACAGTGGCTGAGCTGAGAGGGACACCTACTGTCCTAACCGGAAGTGGTGCTACCCTGTGTTACATCTACTGCTAAGTAACCCTGAAAAGGCAGAAACCAAGTACACTGTGAATCTACGGTGATAATAATGTAGATAATAATGTAGCCATGTAGAAAATGAATAAACTATCAACGCATGAAGTCCAAGGACCACCACTGCCATGAATTGCTAACTAGACGCGCTCAGTAAGGCAACATCTTGCTTTGTTCTATCCCAAAGGAGCTTCTGGCTGATCAGAGCATACAACAATAAAAAGAGAGAGTGCTGCTTTAATAGCAGTCCAAGCAACCTGCATATTCACTACCTTTTCTCTGAATGATAAAGGCTATAAATTTTTGTTTATTTAAAAATAAATAAGCTTAGAATGCTAGATCTAGAGAGTAGGTATACCTTGACAGCAGGTATCAGGGTAAGTTTATGGCTGTCTTCAGTCTCCCAGCTACTACCCAAAACAGGATGAAATCATAGTGAAAAGTCACCCTATAAATTCCTATTTTCATACCTATTTGCTATTAGCATGCACACAATTGTATAATCAGTACGGGTATTTATTTCTTCAAATGTGTTCTAATGAGCTAGTTGGTTATCAGTTGTGCACACACACACGGAATTGCAGCCAGAAGGGCCGTGGTGTGTTGATAGATTTGATGGGAGTTCAGACAGTGGAGAAGAAGCCATTTTGGAATGCCTGCAAATGACTGTATCAGACCAAGGCCAGGGAGTGTCTGCAGTGCAAGCACCGTTGTGCCAGCTGGGTGGGGTGGTGACCAATCATGCTATGGGGATGGAGAGAGAGCCCAGCAAGGGGCAGAGCTGGGGCAGAAGATGATGGCAGCTCTGATCTGGCAGTGGGAGAACGGGAGGCGGGTTCAGGGTCTGCCTAGAAAGGGTACCAAGAGCTGAATAGTCTGCCAGATACAGAGGCCCTTCTCCCGAGAAGGCGTTGCCAGTTGCTGGGTGGCAGCACAGGCGGGAGATTCGGTTGTTGGAGTTGCGGGAGGGGTGGGACAGGTGAGGAATGCCAGCCCCCCGCCTCTGAGAAGGTCTCTTAAACTGGGCAGAAAATAGGGAGGGCTCAGAGAGGGTTCAACACTTCACTCCACGTGAATTCAGAGATGTTTGGCCATAAGGATGTGTAACAGTAAAGCACTGGGAAAAGGAATTCTGCAGCGTGTTTACTCAGGAGAAGCACTGTCTTGCTACATCAATTTCTGAAGCATCCTGTGCAAGCAAAAACTCCTCAGGCATCACTGCATCTACAGGCAAAGCTCATTTTATTGCACTTTATTGTGCTTTGCAGATATTACATTTGTTATAAATCGAAGGTTTGTGGCAGCCCGGCATTGAGCGAGTCTAGCGGAGCCATTTTCCCAACAGCATTTGCTCGCTTCATATCTCATTTTGGTAATTCTCACAATATTTCAAACTTATTATACTTGTTATGTTGATCTGTGAGCAGTGATCTTTGATGTTACTATTGCAATTGTTTTGATGTGCCACAAACTGCACCCATATAAGACATGATTGGTCTTAATTGATCAAGGTTGTTTGTATTCTGACTGCTCCACCAACCACCCGTTCTCCCATCTATCTTTCTATATCCCTGAGACGCAACAATACTGAAATTAGGCCAGTTAATAACCCTACAATGGCCTCAAGTGTTCAAGTGAAAGGAAGAGTTGCATGTCTCTCACTTTTAATCAAAAGCTGGAAATGATTAAACTTAGTGAGAAAAGTATGCCAAAAGTCAAAATAGGTTGTGCACTGGGAAACAAAACCAAAAAAAAAAAAAAAAGCATGTGACTTGCTTTATTGCGATATTTGCTTTATTGTGGTGGTCAGGAACCAAACCCACAATATCTGTGAGGTATGCCTGTATATTTACATTTCATATGAACTAATACAATTAAGTTCATGAAAGGTTTTTTTTCCTTCTTGAAAGCTGATATGACAGCCAATTCAAATCATAGACATAAAGAACCAATTGTGAATGCAGTCAGCCGACATGTTCTAGAAGTTTGCTCAATAATCAAAAACAAATAAGCCTTTTATTAATACCTCTTCCAATAATATATCTTGATTTAACACTGCTGGAGAGAGGAGGGAATTTTTATTCCCATTTCTTCCCCAAGGTCTTGTTAATAAAGATTGTTTCCAGTCTGGATAATCCTTGCCATTAATGCTTCCTTGTTTTACGTAATGTTGTCTGCATCATGTTTTCAAAAGTTAGTTATTCTGCTTATTGTATACGCATGGATGCCCTCTCTCAAAGCCATTCCTTCAGGCGCTAGGGTGCCTTTTGTCAATGAGATGATAAGTTTCAAACCATGAATAACAGAACGTAAATGAATTGATATTTTCTTGTGAACAGAAATACTTGAAACAAAAAATTATTAACAAATTTATTTTCCTTTTGACTACTCCCACTTCTGCCCCCATTTTTTATTCCAAGTTCCTGTTGCCATTTTGCCATAAATAAAAAAGCAAAGTAGGTATGGGATGGGGGAAAGGAGGCAAAGGGGCATCTTCTGCAGTGCTGTTCTTTGGCCAGGCAGTGATGCTGTTGTCAGGAAGAAGTCAGGCCAGAGTTAAAATGGTATTTACAATCTGGGAAAAGTTGAAAACTGTCCTGAAAAAGGTGGCTGCAAAAATAAACCTTGGCAAATTTAGTAAAGCACCAGAGTAATAGCTATGCATGTACAGCAGCACAAGAAAAGTGTGTGCAAGTGCCACATGGTTCACTTAACTTCTTGTGATGAAAAGATCTCTAGTACTAGGATATATCATTGTATGAATTGTCCAATCACATCATTGAGACTTCATATCTAAGAAACATTCATACACACAGGGAATCACTCAGTTTTAAATTTTTAGCATTATTACTGTAACGTCTTTAAGCTTCTTATGTGTTAAACTGAAATAATAACTCCAGAATTTATACTCTCATCCACTAAATCTACAAACTGAACATTTTGATGTGACTCTGTTTGCATAATGCCAATGGTATAACCTCAAAATCAGTGATGACTAGAGATAAAATGTTTCCTGGGACTCCATCCTTCCCAATTCCAGTCTGCCGCCAACTCTAGTCACAGAGCTCTCCTCCTCATCCCCCATTAATGGTGCATTCCTATGCATATTCATTTTTGTTGTGCATTTTGACAAAACAAAACCATAACAAATAGAACTCCAATGCAACATGTGCATGCGTTTTAATAAACATATGCAAATGTATGAACATACAGCTTTCAAGTGAGGGAATTATGTATAAGCTTCAGCACAGGCATATGAAATATCTATGCATGTTTCCTTTTGCGAAAGTCATCTGACTAAATCTGTTCAAGCATATTTTTTCAATGAATTGCTTTATGGGAGGGGAGCATAAAACTCCCCCCCTCCCGCCCCCAGTTGTAGTGACAGACTTTAGCTATGGAAAGGGCAAGGAGAATTCATTTACATTATCAGTGGATAAACTTACAGGAAACCAGTTGGTAATTTTAATAGAATGTGTATCATTAGATCATGGCAAAGAGCATTCCAATACAGAGTTTATCTTCATAATAACCTCTTTGCAGAAAGAGGCAACTATCAGGCATTACCATAACATATGATCAAAAGAAGCATTGGCTAACGCCAACAGCAATTAACTAATTTAGATAAACTCTTGTTAAAAAGCCATGCCATTCAATAAACAGGAAACAAGGGGGTTTCCAGAATAAGATATAACTGAAGTCCCACTGACATTTTAGATGCAGACCCCTATGTAACACTCCACTAATTAAGCATTCCAGTTCCTTATTCCAGTTCTGCTTAAGGCCATTAAGCAGAACTGTATCATCTTAATGATAACTCAATTTACTCAATGATAACAAGCATTTATAAACATGGATCAGGGGTCAGTATGATTGGGCAGGCTTAATAATGACATTTAACAATACTGTCAAGGGCCAGTGCTGAATTCTAACCAATGTTGTGACTGCAAGGTTTACCATTCTGCCATAGCCAGCACATTATATTTGACACACAAAGCCAAAAATGACAGAAACTCATGCTTGACCTTCACTAATTGATCCAAGGTAAAAGCCAGTCTCTGTCCAAGTCTGCCCATACAACAGCAACATTTTCTTAGCAATTTTTAAGTCTGGATTTCACCATAGAGTCAAGTTTACCATGAAAATGGATCAAAGTGTTATTGCCATGATATTAACTGCCACGCATCTGTCACAGTCATAACTGTGGAAGAACTTTATCCATTTTATTATGCCATGTACCCTAAAGCCATCTTTTTCAAGGATATTCATGGTGGGGAGGAACCTCAACACTGAGATGGCAAAACAGAGCATTACAGTTTTGCAAACATTTGTATGGATAGAAGACTTCCCTGTATAACAAGCCATCAGAGGTATAATAAGTTCTTACTAATGAACTCGATTTCAAGTTCAGTTTAATTACTTGAAATATATCTCTGGGAATAAGTATTCCCAAAGAAGCAATAAAATCTGGCCATCAGTAAAATGACCAGCTAATACATGGTGAGAAATACTGCCTCCAGTCAGCACCGGTTCAGACTTTAGCCACTTAATTGAACAGACTGACAACTCTGACGGGTGCCAGCGCATCACCCCTGCCCTTCATTCATGGCACCTCCAGTGCCGTACACAGTGCGAGGCACGGGCGCAGTGCTCCTCACTGCCACCACGCCTCGCACCGTGTATTTCGTTTCGACGGCCTTTTGGGGCCATCCGGATGAAACAGCAGATGGGGGAAAGGAAGGGGGCTGGATACCACTTGGATACTCAGTCAGAGGTTGACCCCAGCCTCATCCACCCTGGCACCCTGCCAAGTCGCGTTTTCTCCTCTCTGAAGCTGACTCATAACTGGTAGTCAGAGCCGTTCTGCCTTTCCATGCTGGCTGCGAAGGGGCAGGACAGAGGCTCAGTCTTTGGAGTCCCAACACTGAAGCTACAGGACTTTACCACTGGGATTAAGAATCCTCCTCTGTGCCCTCCACCTCCTGGATGATATGAGGAGGCCATAGGGCTGGCCTAATGGGTGGTATAAAAGCTACTTATTAGGATCATGTCCCAAAGGATTAATCAACTGCATCGAACCTGGAACAGGCACTTGGAGTTTGGAAACAAAAGCAAGTTATGTGGGTACTCATTCTGCATTGGGATGGTGTGGTGGTGTAGAGCCAGTGTGACGTAGTGGTTAAGAGCATGGGACTGGGACTCAGAGGATCTGGGTTCGAGTCCCCGCTCAGCCATGGAGCCAACTGGGTGACTTTGGGCCAGTCACAGACTCTCAGCCCAACCTACCTCACAGGGTTGTTGTTGTGGGGATAAGATGGAGGAGGAGAATGATGTAAGCTGCCTTGAGCCCTTTGAGGAAAAAGGCAGGATATAAATTGAAAAATAAAATAAAAATAAAAGTTATCAGCATGAAGAATAATTTTAAATTCTAATCTAACACAAAATTATTAATGTAACTATTCTAATAGTGCACACCTGAGGTTCCACACTTACCTGAAGCATCAGTGGATAAAGTAGGCATCCCTGTCTGGTACCTGTCCCAAGTAAAAAGACAGCCAAAAAACCTCATTAGTCACAAGTCTATCTCTAGGAGTTGAACATACCCATGTGGATACTTTGTGCATTACAAAAATTCTACAGGAAAGTCCAACTAACTCAATGTAGTGAAGAAACATTTCCTGTTAATTTCCTCAATAGCCTTTTCAGCATCCAGAAAACACATAATAGCCTATTCTGTTTTCTCTTTTTAAAATCTGGCCAGTCCCTTGTTATAACTACATGTTGCAATCAATTAGCCCAAATTGCTGCTAAGATCTACATTCATTAACAAAACAGGTTGATAGCTAGCACAATATGTGTGATCCTTGCCAGGTTTAGAACACACCCAAAATCTAAGCATCATTTAATGATGAAGAAAGGCAGTCCAGCTTAAAGATTAACCTCAAAATTCTGAAACCAAAAGGCTGGGAAAGATTTTATTCTACCAAACTGCAAATCAATCAGGAGTGGGTGATTTCGCAGGTCATTGCTTTCCTAATTTCCTCCATATGCAAAAGCAGCTGAGAGAAACTGCCATCCTGAGTAGTCAAATTTGCAAGATTACCATGAGGAAGGAAAGATGCATCCATGCCCTGTTCCAGTGTTTCACTCCCAAATCAGAATAAAACATTTTTGGAACATGCAGATGTGCCAGGAAGTTTATACAGAAAAGATTTCATGATTGCAGAACACTCAAGACTACTAAATTAGGTTCACCTTGTTAGAGATGAGTCACGTGTTCCAGTTAATTAGGCTTCTTTGTTCTGTAAACTAAAAAGAGAAACTTCAATTAACCCAGAAGCATTTTATCATGTTTCTGAAGCCTGGACATATGTTTACAGATCTGAAGAGAACAACGGTATCCGACGTATTTTCCATTCCCTTCTGCAATCAATTTATCAAACCGGCCAGTTTCTCTCATCGCTGCTGGATCAGCTTCCACCCCTGTCTTGTGACAAGCGATTAGAACAAAGTATAAATCAAGCCACTGCCTTATGGCTATAGTAAATATATAATTCCTTCTATTTCTGACGTTCCAAGATAAGGGCTCATGTAACCATAACAGCATCACCCAATCAAAAGAGAGTGGTGTCCATAGACTTGGAAAAATGGTGAAGCTCACAGAAGTACCAAAAATATCCTGTTAGGAAAAAACCTAAGGGGAAGAACCAAACCATCCCAATGCAGAATGAGTGCCACAATTAGCAATGTATAAGGTTCCAGTTTGGGGGTGGGAATCCATTGGACTTTCTCACAGCCCTGGGTCCACCTTGGTTCCAAATGCACCAAGCAGTGGCGTGGGAACCCGCCAGGAATCAAGCACCCATGAACAAGCCCAAGAGGTGTCCTTCCTCCGCACACATGGCTTGTGCTCTTTTGCTGCACATGCTGCAGAAGAAGGTTGCCAAGTAGTGGCGAGAGGAGTTCTGTGTGAGCTTGTGACTGCCTCTCAGTTGGCTCGCTTACTGAGCCAGGGCGAAGCATGAGAGGGAGACCTGCTGAAGAGGGCTGGATTCCGGGAGGGGAAGCGTCACGGCCCTCTCCACAGGGGCCACATCCAGCTGCCAGATGTGGGGCAGATGAAACAAAAGACTCCCTGGGAATGGTGCCCAGCTGACTGACTGGAGCATTGACCAGGAGCCTTTAGCGGGACACCGTGCGACCTCTTTTACGTGGGGCAGCCCTCCATTGGAAGCACTGGGCAGGATGGATCAGCAGTCTGGCTCAGTAGAAGGCCAGCTGCCTGTGTTCCTGCCAAGAGTTAGCAAGCAGACAGCAGACTGAACAGGAACGGGGAGATGCACAGTGCTTGCTTTCAAATTAGTATTTCCAAAAATGTTACAGTATATCACAGAAGTGAGTTACACCCCCTCACATTTTGTAAATATTTTATTATATCTTTTCATGTGACAACCCTGAAGAAATGACATTTTGCTACAACGTAAAGTAGTGACTATACAGCTTGTATGACAATGTAAATTGCTGTCCCCT